GAAATGCAGGTCGTAGTTGCTGAACACCAGCTTGAAAGCAGAACTGAGTTGTGCATTGTCTGATTAGTTTGCGCCAGAGTTTTGAAAATTGGTGCAAGATAAAGACTGCAACATTTCTCAGTAAAAGTATATCCCTATTTGTATTGTTTGTTTCTGCTTGCATCGTTTGTGCGCTATAACTTGTCTCGTGTGTTTCTTGGGTGTGTTTTTTAATTAAACGTGGACATAAAGAGGCTTACAACAACAACAACAAGATTACATTTGTATAGCGCCTTTCATGTCGGGAGGACGTCCCAAGGCACTGGACAGTGTACAGCATTTCAGACCCGAGCTGGGGTCAGGGGGGGAGAAGGGAGGGGAAGGGAAGGTGAGTGACCAATGGCATGATCGAAGAGGAGGGTCTTGAGACGGGACTTGAAGGAGGCTAAGAAGGGAGCGTGGTGGAGTGACTGGGGGATGGAGCTCCAGAGGTTGGGGGCAGAGCAGCTGAAGGCTCTCCCACCAATGGTGGGGTTAGTGGGTCGGGGGACGTTGAGCGAAGGGAGCGGGCGGGTTGGTAGGGGGTTAGGAGGTCGCAGAGGTAGGTTGGGGCGAGGCCATGGAGGACTTTGTAGGTGAGGACCAGGATCTTGAACTGGATCCTCTGAATGATAGGGAGCCAATGGAGTCCGGCAAGAGTGGGGGAGATGGGGTCACGGAGTTTGGTGCGGAAGAAGACGGGGCTGCAGAGTTCTGGATTATCTGCAACCTGTGGAGGGAGGAGTTGGGAAGGCTGACAAGCAGGGGGTTTGTATAGTCAAGCCTGGAGGTGATGAAAGCATGAATTACTTCTGCATTGGTGACAGGAAAACAATTCAAAGCGGTTTGTACTTGGAAAAACAGTAGCTGTTCAAATTTTGTACTGTGTGGTCAATCTGGTGTTTCATTGATCACATTGGAGGCCAGCCTAAAATCCATATTGAACAACTCTAAAACAGAACATATCATAATAATCCTTGTATTTAATATAGCGCCTTTCATGTGATCAAGAAGGCTCAAGTGGCTTCCCAGGATTTTACTGTAAAGTGTAGACTGGATATTTTGGAGGCAACATATATGTGAATGTGGCCCATGGGCTGTACTGGCAGGGGCTTTAACTACATATGAAATCCAGGGTATCTTCTCCGCAGTGGTGGAAGCTCAGTCTCTGGTAGAAAGTATACTTTATTGGTGGCAGAGATCTAACTCAACCGGATGCACATAAAAGTTGCTTAAGCGAAAAAAAAATATTTTTGAGGGTATAAATTGAAACAAAAATAGATTCAGTGTCTTAAACATACTGCCTCATGCACAGGTTGTCTTCACAACTATTCTTCAAGTCATTGTGCAATTGTAATGCTGTGCCATGAAATCTTTCCTCTGTGCATACATCCATAGCGATTCTCAATTTATTTAATCCATTATTTTATATTAGCAATTGTCAGCAATGTCGAGAGTGTGATTTATACAAAATAATTCGGAAAACCCGCAGGTTTGAAATAGGTCTGTTTTACTTTAAACATTCTTCAGATTTGTGACATCTTTGCTTTGACAACTCTCCACCTGACATTTACTGTTTTAATGACATTAGTGTTATCTCCAGCGACATTTGTTTGCACTGTTTATGCACTGAGGGCGGCCCTGGTGTCACTGAATTGGAAAATTCAACTCCATTTATAGTTTTGTAGATGTTTCAGAGCCCAACACACTCTGGATTCCCTTTAGCTCAAGTAGGTGAGAAACAGCAAATAAAAGGTGAAAATAATTCAGGGCGCAAGAGGTGCAACTGTTTGGTTGCTCCAGATTTTGATGGATTTCTTTTGTTCCCTCATGACAGAAAAATTCTCAAAAACTCTCTGACTGAAATTGACTCACAGATACAAATATTCTGCAAGAGGAACCTGTAAAAAAAATGATCAATTCAATAGATCTTTCCATCTTCACAAATTTTCCAAAAAAACACCACTCCAAATCCTCTCTATAGAAGACAAAGCAAGTTGGAGTTCCAAAAAAATGTGAATTAATATTTACTGATGATAATTTATATAAACAATTTTATAATACATTGAAAGATTATTTAAAAAATTAGAAGTTCCAACACAAAACTAATTTTCAAAGCTGAATGAAGCAACAACTATATTTACTTAAAATCTGCTTCATAGTATCTTATCACATCTAAACATCTCAAAGGGCTTCAGAGTTTTCCATAGAGTATAGTGAGTGTACTTGTTGGCTTACCCTGACAGCCAATTTGGGCACAACAGTCAAGAAGTGATGGATTGCCTAGAGGACTGTTGGCCAATATTTTATTTGGTCAGCTGAATGTCTTACACGTGCAGAAATCCATCACCCTGCTTAAGAGTACCCAAACCTGTCTGAGAGTTCCATATATGTATGGCACCTACAACATGTCCCTGTGTCAGGCATAGAATGCACGTTTTCTCCCTGGAGGGATGAACTCTGCTTGTCTTATTCTGGAGAATATTCTCCACAGGTTGGCAAGAGCCAAAGTTTGGGGGAGCCCAGAATGTTTGGCATTGGTCATTCTTGTCTCTCTTCAATGATAGCAAAGTCTCACTTCAGGTTAAGCTTGTGACAAATAAGATATGTGTTGGTTTTAATTAAGCCTGAAACACAGCATTAGATTTGGACTTCTAGAACATCAAGGTGGCTGGCATGATACAAGTTTGGTAGCAATGCTGTAATATATTTCATTCTGACAAAAAAATTATAAAGTGAAAGAGAATTACCAGAGGATAAAAATGAACAAATAAGTCCAGAGTAAGGAATTTGGATAGAGCTATCCTCAATACTGTATACTGTCTAATATATTTTTAATAATACAAATATATTAGAAATAACATTTCATCATCTCACTGTTAAAAAATCACCAAGGATATTCAACTTAATTCTTGGGTAATTCAAATTCCTATATCTAACCAGTTGCTCTCTGCAAAAACAAACTACAGCACAATTTTGTTTTCTTTTTCTGCAGAAACAATTATTGTAATCTAATCTAGAATATTAGTTTTCAAGTGCTTCAAGACATTCGTTGTACATGTAAGGCTCTATATTTGTGTGAATTGTTGATGGTTAAGTTAATCTTTGATAAGTGGGGGAAAAAAATGAGAGTAGGACTGGAATTCTGAATTCTCCTGAGATGTTACATAGGACCCCACCCTAAGAATTATATCAAATGGTATCAAATTATGAATTAAAAATATAAACATAACTTTTAACAGACAAACAGACGTGAGACCCGATGATTCCTGAGTTACTGGGACCGCAATACATCATATCAAGTTGTATGAATTATGTATCTCACTTTCTTGTGAGGCCTTGGGACATCCTCCCGACGTGAAAGGCGCTGTACAAATGTAATCTTGTTGCTGTTGTATTCTTCCCACTTAGCTATTGTGACCCTTGCAAGCCAAAATGCTAAGGTGGTCTTGGTGGCCAAGGAGGCATTTTAGTTGGTTTCACTCCAGCACTACGCCCTCAAGTCGTAACTCTTGCTAACTCATGCCTAATACATACCAGAATTATTTAAGCAGCTTGCATCTTTCCAGGGAGAGAAAGTGCACTCCATTCCTGACAAAGGAAAATTTCCTTGTGTAGGTGACATGCATCCGTAGGAATTAGTAGGACCTAAATCCTCTAATCCTAGCTTTAAGACTATGTCAGAATTAATAGGGCCTAAATCTTCTTGTCTTAGTTTTAACACCATTTTCTTAAATTCTAAGATCATGAAGAATTTTGGGGGAAAAAATTCCAATTTGTAAGCCAATTTTTCACAGGCATTGAAAACCAGCTTACTTTAAAAACTTTAAACCAGCTTACTGCAACTTTAAGAAAATATATGAATTTTCCAAAATTCTTCAGTTTATGGTGTAAAAGCTAAGACCAAGATAAATGATATCAAATGTTGAGTATTGAAACTTGCTGATACCTTTCTAGGGCACCAGGTGTGCTGCAGAGCAGTGTAAATGTTGGGCAACAGGAGCACACAGACTTCCAGCAACTGGTTGGAGAGCTTTTCCAACTGGTTTTGGAAGATCTTGAGAGAAGATGACTGACAGGGATCCTCATAGAGGTGCTTAAATGGGAATAAAACAAGTAAACCAGATCAATACTTTAGGATACAAGACAGCAGAACAAAATACATGGACTTGGAATTGTAAACGGCAATTTAAGAAGACACTAGGAAGATTATTTTCTTTATTCAGTGGGTAATCAATGATTGGAACAGGTTACCAGAAAATGTGGGTCAGGCCAAGACATTGGCCTCATTTAAAAAAGTTTAAAACTGTCAGGATTGTATGATGGGTATTCTGGAGGAATGAGATTTGATGTGCCGAAAGGCCTTCTTCATCCAAACCAATCTTGTGACCCTGTGACTCTTGAAGGGGTATGTGGGACTGAAAGAACAGCTTGCTCTGAAAGCCGGTGCAGACGGGATAAACTGAATGGCCTCCTTCTGTGCGGTATTATAATAACTGTATTTGGGGAAGAAACCACTGGTGCCTGTTGGCAGGTCTACACTGGTCCCCGTGGGCAGGTCTACACTGGTCCCCGTGAGCAGGTCTACACTGGTCCCCGTGGGCAGGTCTACACTGGTCCCCGTGGGCAGGTCTACACTGGTCCCCGTGGGCAGGTCTACACTGGTCCCCGTGGGCAGGTCTACTCTGGTCCCCATGAGCAGGTCTACACTGGTCCCCTTGGGCAGGTCTACACTGGTCCCCGTGGGCAGGTCTACACTGGTCCCCGTGGGCAGGTCTACACTGGTCCCTGTGGGCAGGTCTACACTGGTCCCCGTGGGCAGGTCTACACTGGTCCCCGTGGGCAGGTCTACACTGGAGCTTGTTGGCAGGACTCCACTGGGTGGTGCTGGGAGGACCAGGCGCTGTGGGGAGGACTGCTCGGGCGCGGTGCCGGAGGGGCAGCTCTTGCCGCCCTCGCTGGCTGTATCGGCGGTGCGGCTTCCCGGCATGCCCGCCCGCCCGCGCCTGTTGGTGCTGCTGAACATGGCGGAGGGCGGAGTGGCCGATCTGGAGACGCAGAGAGGAGAGACGGCGGCCCTCATGAAGACGCCGCTCAAGAAGGGGGACACCTGGTGAGGAGGAGGAGGAGGAGGCGGCGACCGAGTCCGGAGAGAGGGAGAGAAACCCCGGGCGTGGGGTGGGGTGGGGAGGGAGGGAGGGAGCGGCGCTGTCAGGCTCCGGCACTGGGGCCGGGGAGCGGCTGCTGAGCGCCGGCGACAGGGGAGGAGAGGCCGGGCATCTAGAGCGGCCGCAGCCGGCGTCTCGCCCCCGCCATCCTCTTGCAGGGCCGAGGCCAGGCCGGGTTGACATGGGGAGGCGAGGCGCTGTTTGCAGCGGCTGCCTGTCCCGGGAGAGAGAGCGCAGCTTCTTCCTGCAGAGATTCAGATGGGAACCGCTGTGAGGGGATCTCTCTCTGGGGCTGTGAGGGGGTGTCTCTCTGGGGCTGTGAGGGGGTCTCCCTCTGGGGCTGTGAGGGGGTCCCTCTCTGGGACTGTGAGGGGTCTCTCCCTGGGGCTGTGAGGGGTCTCTTCCTGGGGCTGTGAGGGGATGTCTCTTAGGGCTGTGAGGGGTCTCTTCCTGGGGCTGTGAGGGGTGTCTCTTAGGGCTGTGAGGGGGTCTCTCTCTGGGGCTGTGAGGGGGTCTCTCTCTGGGCTGTGAGGGGGTCTCTCTCTGGGGCTGTGAGGGGTCTCTCCCTGGAGCTGTGAGGGGGTCTCTCCCTGGGGCTGTGAGGGGGTGTCTCTTAGGGCTGTGAGGGGTCTCTTCCTGGGGCTGTGAGGGGGTGTCTCTTAGGGCTGTGAGGGGGTCTCTCTCTGGGGCTGTGAGGGGGTCTCTCTCTGGGGCTGTGAGCGGGTGTCTCCCTGGGGCTGTGAGCGGGTGTCTCTCTGGGGCTGTGAGGGGGTCTCTCTCTGGGGCTGTGAGGGGGTCTCTCTCTGGGGCTGTGAGGGGGTCTCTCCCTGGAGCTGTGAGGGGGTCTCTCCCTGGGGCTGTGAGGGAGTTTCTCCCTACGGCTGTGAGGGGGTCTCTCACTGGAGCTGTGAGGGGGTCTCTCCCTGGGGCTGTGAGGGATCTTTCCCTGGGGCTGTGAGGGGGTCTCTCCCTGGGGCTGTGAGGGGGTCTCTCCCTGGGGCTGTGAGGGGGTCTCTCCCTGGGGCTGTGAGGGGGTCCCTCTCTGGGGATGTGAGGGGGTCTCTCCCTGGGGCTGTGAGGGGATCTCTCCCTGGAGCTGTGAGGGGGTCTCTCCCTGGAGCTGTGAGGGATCTCGCCCTGGTGCTGTGAGGGGATCTCGCCCTGGGGCTGTGAGGGGGTCTCTCCCTGGGGCTGTGAGGGGGTCTCTCCCTGGGGCTGTGAGGGGTGTCTCCCTGGGGCTGTGAGGGGTGTCTCCCTGGGGCTGTGAGGGGTGTCTCCCTGGGGCTGTGAGCGGGTGTCTCCCTGGGGCTGTGAGCGGGTGTCTCCCTGGGGCTGTGAGCGGGTCTCTCCCTGGGGCTGTGAGCGGGTGTCTCCCTGGGGCTGTGAGCGGGTGTCTCCCTGGGGCTGTGAGCGGGTCTCTCTCTGGGGCTGTGAGGGGTTCTCTCTCTGGGGCTGTGAGGGGGTCTCTCTCTGGGGCTGTGAGGGGGTCTCTCCCTGGGGCTGTGAGGGGGTCTCTCCCTGGAGCTGTGAGGGGGTCTCTCCCTGGGGCTGTGAGGGGGTCTCTCTCTGGGGCTGTGAGGGGGTCTCTCCCTGGGGCTGTGAGGGGGTCTCTCCCTGGGGCTGTGAAGGGATCTCTCCCTGGGGCTGTGAAGGGATCTCTCCCTGGGGCTGTGAGGGGGTCTCTCACTGGAGCTGTGAGGGGTCCCTCCCTGGGGCTGTGAGGGGTCCCTCCCTGGGGCTGTGAGGGGTTCTTCCCCTGGGGCTGTGAGGGGTTCTTCCCCTGGGGCTGTGAGGGGTTCTTCCCCTGGGGCTGTGAGGGGGTCTCTCCCTGGGGCTGTGAGGTGTGTCTCCCTGGGGCTGTGAGGTGTGTCTCCCTGGGGCTGTGAGGTGTGTCTCCCTGGGGCTGTGAGGGGTGTTTCCCTGGGGCTGTGAAGGGGGCTCTCCCTGGGGCTGTGAGGGGGTCTCTCCCTGGGGCTGTGAGGGGGTCTCTCCCTGGGGCTGTGAGAGTTCTAGCCCGGATCATTGTGAGGATTGGCCACTTCATGTCACTGAAGAGTCAGAGGAGCCACTTATTACTCAGATTTACCAGAACATTATCCGTTCTCCTCTTTGAAGGTGATGAAATCAAACTGTCTTTGCGGGTTAAGTCACTTTGAAGAGTGCCCCTGATATGGTAATTTTTCTGAGGTAAACACACTGTATACCATCTATAACCTGAACAATACGTTACCAGGAAGGCTGGTAGAAGCCAGGACACTGGATTCAAAAATGTAATTTTTGAAAGAATAATCTGTTTTATGTGAATTAATCTTGTGAAGTCACATTTTGCATTGCACTTCTCACTCCTGAGGCTGACTACTCACAAGTTGCTACCTCCGAGATGTTTTATTTTGTGGTTCCCTTTGCTTGTCATATGATGTACTGCATACTGATTTAGATTCTTGCCACCATGCATGTTTTGTATTGTGTTAGACTATCCTAGTGCTAATTTTATTTATTTTAGGATAAATGGAACAATTGCCTCATCTTTGTTGATCAATCAGTACAGAACAAATCTTCTTTGTGTATTTGTGAAATGGAGAAGATTGACTGTTGAAGTATAATAATGCCCGTTTGAGGGGAAAAAGAATAAAATCAACCCATGAAGTTACACTTATATTGTATTTTAAAAATGAATGGCTACAAGGGTGTGGATAAACTTCTCCAATCGCATATAGCCATTGCATATGTGCACATTGTGATTAGATTGTGTGCATATATAACCACCTTTCACTTGACAAGCGATCTTTAAGAGGGGACCTGATAACAACATTTAAAATTCTAAAAGGGTTCAATAAGTTTAGCATAAGTAGTCTGTTCTCACTTGATAGAAAGTCTGTAACCAGAGGACATAAGTGTAAAGCAGCAACTAGGGGATCTAAAAGAGAATTTAGAAGGAACTGCTTCAAGCAGAGGGTAGCGAGATTGTGGAACTCGCTGCCCGAAGCATTGGTTGGAGACAATAACATAGATGCATTTAAGAGGAAGTTAAATATACACACGATGGTGAAGTGAATGGAAAGATATGGGAGGAATAAGGGCTGGGTGGAGACTCATGGATTATAAACGCTGACACAGACTGGTTGGGCCAAATTACCTGTTTCAACGCTGTACAATCTTATGCAAATTGCTTCCCTATTACATAACTGAGAACTCAATAATCTGTATAAATACTTAATTCTTCATGTAACTACAAACAATCATTGTTGTGACTAAAGTGTGTCTATCTTATTCAGTATTAGCTTTCTTTGGTATTGTAATTTCAATTTATATAAAATTGTTGTATGTATAATGCACTCAATTATAAGACAGCGATCATGTGAGAATTCAGATCATGCCTGGATAACTTGAGCTTTAAACATCTGATCTCCTTAATTAAATAAGTTTTATAGCTCCTAGGTATCACAAATTATTTATTCAGCTGCAAGTGCAAGTACAGTGAATCTAAACCTGCAATTCTATTGCTCTAGCATCAAACGTGTTTCCATCAAAAAGGGTAGTGTTGTATAACGGGTGTGCCTTGACCATCACTGATATTGGCATAGTTTATCTCTTGTAAACCTCAGTTGTAAGTGTATTCTTCATACTGCAAAGCTTAACTGTAGTTTATCCTCTGAATATATCATGAACTGCAAGACAGACCATCAGCAGAGCAGGGGTGAGGGATCCTTCCTACTCAGCTCTTGTTAACCCTGCAAGGAAAGGTCCTGATGGGTAGGATGGTCCTAACTGGATAAGCACTGAGAAGTTTGCCAAGGTATGGCAAGTCTTAGCTGATTAAAATAACTAATCTCGTCTCTCGCCAACCTGTGTCTTCATACTTTCTGGGATCGGATAAGCAGAGTGTGACCCTGCAGGGGGTAAGTGCGTATTCCATTCCAGACGCAGGAAAATTGCCATGCATATGTGGAATACATATGTGGAACTCTGTCTGGTTCCAAAACTCTTAAACACAGTGGTAGGTTTTGGCATGTGTCTGGCATCTGGCTGGCAAAAAGCAATTGCACTATAAATGACATGGATAGAGATTATGTGGCCAAATTATGAGCTTCAAATACGAATTTCTTAAATTTATATTTGCATTTTTAAAAAAATCCTACCATTACAGAAAATCATTCACATATTTCCTTCATAGCTCAATGCTCATCAGTTAAAATTGAATGCTAACATTTTGTACAGCATTCAATGAAGTCACGAAGTACATCCACCTTCTCTGCAAAAAAGGTCTGTTATTAGTCATGATTATAACACTTTAAAACTGCACTATTGTGTAATAAATGAACAACGGGCACTTGTTGATGACTTTTATGTTAAGTTTGGTCTTGCATCACAACTTGCTTCGTTCACTGAGCTCCTTATTAATAATACGTTTTTAAAAATTATTGGATGAGTATTGTAACTACTGTTTGCCAAAGGTACTTCTCTGGTGAGGAGAGAAGTTGGCAGGTATTTCTAACAAGTGTTACAAATAATATGTGAAGCATGTAGCTGATCCAAATGCCAAGTTGCATTCTAAGTGTTATCATATTGCTTGAGATGCCCAAATCATTGACTATAGAATTTAAGTTCAACTAAGGGTGCCTTATAGTTCTGAAAGACGTTTTGCTCGAAACCTGCGATTGTCAAATTTCTTCTAAAAATGGTATGGCAATGCAGAAAGTGAATTGATATTGGTTTGCGATATGCCTATACCAGGGCATGAAATGTTGACTTTGCTGAAGTACAGTGTAAGGTTCAGAAGAGATGCATTGGTGAAATTCTACATTAGTAGGATCGTTTGTAGCGCTGAGTTTATTCGAGTGATGTTTATTCGTGTCATTGTGACACCAGCTAATAATATTGACTGAATTATATAGTAAATTCCTAATGCAAGATAAAAATGTTAAGACCATCATGAAAAAGTCATCACAATGAAATTATGTGGTTCTCATTGAGATATTGATTCAGCATCAACACACAAAGTAAATCTGGATCATGATATAATCTTTTGGCACAGATACACAGCACTGAATTTGCTTTGCCTACAAAATACACAGTCACTGCCCTTTACAGTAAATTCTGGAAAGCCCTTTCCGAAGTTCTCTCGAGGTGTTGTATCAATTGCAAGGATTTAGAATTATTTAACTTTAAGATCCCCAGGTCAGTGATTTAATTCAATTTTATATCATGTGTTTTAACATAAGTGGATTAGGTAAATTTTCTCCCTCCTTTTTACCTTTTCTTTTCTTTCCTAAGTGCCATGAAGGATCTTCAAATAAGAAAGCCAATCTCCCTGTGGGTAAGAGTCAGGTGTTTGTTTGGTGCCTCTCCATAGTCAAATAGTTAGGATTAAGAATGAACCATCAGGAGGATTGTGGACACAAACTTGCATTCCACCATTGCTTTAAGCAGTGTTTTAGGACTCTGCCACTATATGGTATCAAGCCCATTAATAACCTTTCTGAAAGTCAGATTGTTTCAAAGAATTATGATCATATTCACTTGGGTCTCCCAACTAGATATTAAAGTGGTGAGTGCTAGTTACCTCTTGATAGTTGGCTGAGTTAACAATAACTCAACAGTGTTTGGAAGCTCAATTAACATTGAAATGCCATCATTAACCGTAAGGTAATTGTATGGTTTCAACTGACATACATATTAATTTTGCTCTTCTGCATTGTCAAGCTAGGTAACCTTTCCAGACAGTTTCTTGATGCCATCTGTACTCTTTAAACAAGACATCCCAGAGGCTGTATCGTAATTGCGATTGATTTAATGAGTCATATAGCCAGACTTTGTAAGCCACAACTTATTGTACACTCTACCAATCCTGTACACCATTCGTCCTAGGCTGTATTTTCACTGTTGTGGAATCTGTTGTGGTTGTCATTTACAAAAAAGTTGTGCTTGGTATTTTACTCCTTACAGCATTGGTTATCAGGGAAGCAGGACTGAATCAAAGGAGATCAAAATGGAACACTAATAAAAAAAAAGTTAAGATTGCTGAAAATAAGTAATTATAAATCTGCAATGCCTCACACTCTTACAGACAAGTGGGCTTTTAGAAGTACAGTATTCACAGGCTGCTTTGGGGGGTTTCCTTGGCTAGACTGAACTTAAGTCTTGCAAGATACGTTATATAGTATGTGATTATTAAGGGATTGTAGTTTTAAGCAGACACTGTTCTGCTTAGTACTGTGAATTACCAGAACCATTTAGTTTTGTCCAACTAAGCAAAGTGATATTTCTTGGAAAATATACATCATAGTCACTTTGTAGTGGGGGGGAGGGGGACAAAAAGATGACATTTTGCCTTTCTTGTTCAGATCTGTGCCCAGGAACTTCCTTTTCAAATTTCCTGTGATAGTCTTGTTGCTACGATTTCTCCAACTTTTTCATAGGAACCTTATATGCAGTTGTAGATGAAGATAAAATGTTTAAAATCAGCAAATTCCCATAGCTTTTGTTTGGTTGTTCCCAAAACAGGAAGTGATGCAAAAGAACTTCCTGGGCACATCTGTGAAGAAGAAAGGCAAAATGGCGTCCCTTTGTGTCCATAATCTAAAAGAACTATCTACGATTTCTGACGCTAATGAATTTGCTCAGTTGGACACAAACAAAAATTAAATACAATGGGTAAGTAGCCTTTCAGCATGTCTCATGTCTTCCTAACAGAGCGTAGAGGCTCAGTGGTTAGAGCACACGCCTCGCAGGCGAGGGGACCTGGGTTCTATTCCGTGCTTGGCGAAACGTTGGGCAAGGTTCCTCACTCCACACGCCTCTGTTTACCTAGCAAATAAGTAGGTTGTTAGTCGATTGTCAGATCGCTTTTCCGGGGGTAATAATCACTTCCAAAAAATAAATAAATAATAACTTTGTCAATCCATGACTGTTTGTGTGACACTGCTGTGCGCAATTGGCTGCCGTGTTTCACCCACAAAATATACAGTCAATTCACTGTACAATGTATTCCATGAAGCGCTTTGAGACATCCCGAAGAAATAATAAGGCGCTATATAAAATGTAAGGGTTATTATTATAACATCCTAATTTTGCATATAATAAAAGATTCAAACACTCATGGTTCGGTAGAGGATATTATGGGTTAGATATAGGAAGAGCCAGAGTTTTTGCTTACAATCTACTAACTTCACAAGAGCTAAGTTTGATGCTCCAATTTTGTTTTATTTTTGTAGTAGTAGGGACAGGACCACTAACAGTGCTGAGTATGTCACTGAAATTTGAACTTGTGTCCTAGACGTTAACATGATGTGCGTTTCCCTCAATTTATTTCCCCTTCTGCTGAAGGTGCTAATTCATCCTGAAGTTTGGTTACACAATTGCCAGTAGCCTCTGGTGCATTGCTAAGTGATAAGCATTTACCTGTGAACTCCGCCCACCTTCCACCCACCCACCACCCCATCCAGCCTAGGAACTCTGAAGTCAATTATAATGTCCCTGCTAGGGATCTGAAATGAGATCAGCAAACAGTACACACTAGGAAGGAATCTGGAATCTCATTGGTCTGAATGACTAGAAAGATGCTCAGGTTCTGAGAAGCATAAATGATAATTTGTAAATCTTTAATCTATTTTGTGCTCAGTAGCATTTAAACATTTTGCCATCTTTAACAATCTTTTTAATTGCCGTTACAGGTACCTTGTGGACAGTCGTTGGTTTAAACAGTGGAAGAAATATGTCGGTTTTGACAGCTGGGACAAATACCAAATGGGAGACCAAAATGTTTATCCTGGTCCTGTTGATAATTCAGGGCTCCTTATAGGTTAGATGACTTGTTCAATTAACCAATGCATTACAGCAATGTTTTTATACTAGTTGAGAAGTTTGTTACTTTTATGGTATTAATGATTCAAAACAGTTTATTACAAATTAAACAGTGTTTAACTAACAGCTTTATTAACTATCCTGTCTGAAAAAATGTATTTTTTTATTTGTTTAAAATGTACAGTTGGATCTAATTTGCAAGAAATCTGTCTTTATTGAGGGTGTCTACTTTAAAATTATTCAGATATTACTTTGTATCAACTCATGAAATTGCTTGTTCTGTACAGAATCCAAATGAAAAATTATTGTGTTGCACAGTATGATTTAGTGTATAAAAATGTCAACATGTACTGATTTGACAATATTAGGAATGAAGAGAAATTAAATAGGATTAGTGAATATTTGGCTCAATTCTTAACTTATAGCGAGAAATCCTTTTTTTTATTGTACAAGGGATCTGTTTCAGTGATTTGCATTGACAGGAGAATATGATTGTGTCTTGGAGTGGAGCTACTGATTTTAATGGGTAAAGATGTTGGGAGTAGCAGAAGAACTGACACTTAGAAAATTCAGTGCCAGTGACTGTACAATGAAAGCCAACTGGCAATGAAATTTCTCAGGGTTGAATATAGAATAATAGATTCATAGAATTAAACAGCACAGAAGGAGGCCATTCGGTCCACTCTCCCGTGCTCTCCCTATAGCCCTGCAAATTTGTCCTCCCCAAATATCTATTTACTTCTCTCTTGAAAGTTGTTATCGAATCGACTTCCACTACCCTTTTAGGCAATGCATTCCAGATCCTAACAACTCGATATGCATACTTTCATCAGTAAGGCATCCACTCTTATCAAATCTCAGCATGTCATGCTGCACAGGAGGAGGCAATACTCACATATAATGTTGAAATAAGGATTCTTATACACAAAGAAAGAACTGTTTCAGAACATTTTTTGAGCAGGACTTTTTGATTAAAAGTTATTCCTGTAGACTTTGTACCGTCTCATGAAATTGTGAAGAAATGAACTATGAATATCAGGCAGTGACTGAGGGACAGATTTTATTCTATGTGGTGTGTGCTGCCCCGAGGAACTTTTTTTATTCAGATAAAAAAAATCTTTGAAATCTCACTTTTGCAGATCAAAATACCTGGGATTATTATATCACTGTATGATGAGTCAGAGATAATATCTAAGCAGTAGATTTAGATAAAACTTCTTTATTTACATAATTTTTTAAAACCTCGGAGGTTTACACAGAGACCCAAGAAGGAACTAGAGTACAATCTTCTAACTGAATGCCTAATTCTCAGATTGTATTCTATAAATTAAATCAGAAAAGATTAAAATGTTCTGGTCTTGCACAAATAGATCAAATGCTAAATTGACTGATCATTTCTAGATTGACAATACATTGTTTTTTATGCAACAGTAAATGATTTAGTAGGTTAGGATCGTTACTCAGGTCATTTATTCATTCATCTGAAGTCTGCCGTACTTTACTTTCTGTGTTTGTTGAAAGCAGCCTTTTATATTGTTCGTCACAGATAGTGATTCACAGTCCCTGAAAGAGCACCTTATAGATGAACTGGATTACATATTGGTACCCACGGAAGGCTGGAATAAATTGGTCAGCTGGTATGGATTGTTGGAATCCCATGAACCGATTGCACGCAAGGTACACAGTTTATTGCAGTATAAATGTGCAGGGCAGTGTTAGAATATTATGCTTATGAGATGACCTGATCATTCTGACTATATTCTATCAATGAGTACCGTATCCTATTTATTTTCAAATGGGTTAGGCTTATGGTGCCTAATGGGGCATATTGTGTAGTACAATACAATTTACTTTTATATGCTGTTTTTCACGTCAGGAGGACATCTCAAAGCGCTCCACTTTGGTTATAATTGTGTGCACCTGATTAAAGACGATGCTATTTTAAATTGTGCTTAATACTATTGTAAATTTGGATATCAGCTGTTCTGCATATTTTTTGTAAATAAATACAGATGCATATGTTATACAGTAATTTTATAACCAGATACATGTTTGGTAAACGGTGTCGAGGAGGGTTTACTCCACAAGTGAGAATACTTAAATAGTGAGGGAGATGTGCAGTTCCCGATCATTATTGTGATGAATTCTGTTTACAATTGACTAAATGTTCTTAGAAGTGACAACAGTAAAATCAAAATATATATCAATATAAATGATATTTTAATCTGAATTAATTTGCTAACAAGATGGAGAACAGTCAAACTCCATTATGATCTCTAAGTAGCAATTCGTCAAGTACAAGCTTGGATACAGAAACCCAGCAGACTATTGGTCCCTGGTTGAGATCAGTTAACTGAGATTACACCCTCTTGAGTCTTTGTTGGAGTGATGTGTGTTTGATAATATGGAGCAGCTTTTCAATGAGCACCTGACAGTAACATTTAGTTGAATCCTTCCCTCAAGCCTATAGAAGAATGTAATATCATATATTGTGTCAGTTACTATATTCAGATGTTGAAAATCTGGACAACTGAACTACTGTAAGTGTAACCAAGAAGATAAAAGCAGTCGTATAGCAATCACAAAGATAAAAGTAGTTTGTGTTTTAAAAGGTATCCCTAAAATAATGTTTTCCATTTCATACTGGTTTCATGGCTGTTACATAATATTACGGATGTTGACCTTGTAAGTGGTAAAGAATCTTGGTGTCAAACTGAAAGGAACATCCATATATCTGTAAGCAGTAGGTAGTGGTACCGCCTGTAAGAATGTGATGAAACCTTCTGTTGCTTCAGATAGCTTTTTATCAATGTATGGTTTTTACTTTTCTTGATAGTTTGAAGTCATGTACCAGGGCATTGACTGCTTAGAAATGGTCTAGCTCCAATTACAGTAGTCTAACAAATAAATGATGGCTGGTTCATCTTTATGATAAAGTGGAGTGAATGGAGTGTAATGTAGTGTCATAAAAGATTGGTTTGTGTCTTTGACTCCTCATGTGCTGAGTTGGCAATTTCAGTTGTATCATTGTGAGAAGGCATACAGAATGTGGATAGAGTTGAGACTTGAGTAATTTTCAGCAGTGCCTATCAGCTGTTTCAGGAATGCATCAACAGAAACCCGACAGGTGGTCACCTATTCACCCGTATATAATTGAGGGCAATTTTAAAATTTGTCCTAAGAGAGTATATACTGGTCAACAATTAATTTGAACAAATATTTGGCCAACTCAGGTACTGTTCCTGCAGATGGTGACAATGTGGTGCTTCTGCATATTTTTGGAGTAGAGCAGTGGGAACTGGTGACAGATATTGGGAGATAGGAGTTGAACAGTTCGATTGATATGAAGCAAGTGAAACATTCGGATAACTTTTCATTTAATTCCGTTCTGCTCAAACCCGACTGATTTCTATAGTTTTACTGTCATGAAAGTTTCTGTCCATGACTACCACTGTAGTGATGTGTTCTTCTTCCCAGGTAGTGGAGCAGGGCATGTTTGTGAAGCACTGCAAAGTAGAGGTATACCTCACTGAGTTAAAATTATGTGAAAATGGAAACATGAACAATGTTGTAACAAGGCGATTTAGCAAAGCTGACACCATAGGTAAGTGTAGATCTAAACATAAATATTTTTGGATATAGTAATGTTCTGTTTTCTGAAAAGCATTTTAGTCTGCTTGAAATGTAATGATTTTTTTTACACTGAGCAGTACGCTCATTTCATGGCTGCTTATATTTTAAAAACATGGTCTGACATAAGGTGTGACAAGGATGAAAGTCATATGAGACTGACCCTGATGGTTGCTGGGTGTATAGAGTGGTACTGGGGCACCAATATATCGATCAGTTCTGCAGAACCTCCAGTAACAAGGGTTCAGCTGGATAATATTCTCCTTGGGGGAAGGTAATTTGGCAAAGCCAAACAAGTCTGCAGTGACAAAAGGCAAACTTAGAGGGAGGTGTAAATAATTCCTCATCCCTACAAGCCAAAGCCATAAAGAGTAGGTGGAGCTCACTGGACAGAAGGTTTAATGAGTGCTGCCTTACTTTGAACTTGAACTTCTGTGTACAAGAGAATAGTTCCAGATACTATTGCTTTTGAGAACTGAATATGTGAATTGCTGTATGAAGCTTCATTGCTGTTTGTGTGCAGATACATGGATTCAATGCATAATGTTTAGCTACACTTGCAAACAGCATTTGTCTTGCTGGTGTAATTTGCTGGCAGTTGAGCTTAAACTAGTAATTCTCATGATGCTGCAGCATGTTCTGATCTTGTGGAAAACACCCACACCTCTTCAGTGATTGAAAAACTGGGTTCTGCTGTGGAATATACCATCCTCATTAGGTCCACTGGTCAAGAAGCTGTTCTGTTAGCATTGCAATGGGAAAAACTATTTTGATTTGTAATACACTATTTGTTGAGTGCAAATAGAATCCCCAATTACAATGGATATTGACTGAGTTAAAATAGGCAGTAAGTATTTCCCCCAATAATAGCCTGGAAGCACAGTTCTCTTCATGAATCATTTTTCTTGTACATTGTAGTGAAGCAATGGTCCAGTATAATTTTTCTTATTAGCACACCAGTCAGTCGACTTTAATCATTGGAAATGATTAAAAATTAGTTCTGAGTTCTGTGTTTGAGTTCATTGTGTAAAGCACTTTTTAATAGGAAATTAGGAACCGGAAGTGACCATTCAGCCCACAGATCTCGCTCTGACACTCATTCTTTGTCAATTTAACGTGAAGAGGTGTTTCTTTTTGCTTTTTTTTTGGACGGTCTGGCTTTTCTCCTGCCACTTAATTCACAGTACTATTTGAGTTGTGCCAGTTTTGGCGATGGTCAAAATATAGTAGTTGAATAAGGCTCTTTTCTGTTTATGAAAACGAGCAGGACAAGTACCCTTGTCCTGAATATTGCGATATATTTATAGCATTTATCACTTTCCTGCAGTTTCTGGTTGACATTGATGTATTAAATATGATCAAGACATTACTGTGTGTGAAGGACAAAATATAAATGCAAGTTGTTAAATACAAAGATTCTCTGGGTGTCTGGGAATATTAAGAAGTTTAAATGGCCTATTCAAAGATAAAGAAGTATTAAACAGGGTTGTAAATACTTTACTGTCTCACCTTATCCTGGCAATATTTAAAGAGCATGCATAACTACTGAATATTCAGTGTTTTTAATTATGGGGCACCAACCCAACTTGCACATTGTTATCATAAAAATGTCTGAAAGACAAAGAGTACAAATATGTTTAATGTTCTCTTCAATATCTCTTTGAAAATGTTTATAATAATGGTTGCATTTGATATAATGCCTTGTCATCCAGATGTTTCAAAGCACTTTGAAACTTTGATTATGATATCCAGTGTAGTTATTGTGTACTTGTAGGCAAATACAGCAGCCAATTAGTGCACAATAGTGTCCCCAAAACAGCCATGAAGTGAATGATTTTACCTGGATGAATGTTGGCCTGGACAATTATTGTTTATCAATTTATAAAGTAGCTTTCATGACACAGACCCTACTGTACAAACTTGCTGCAACTTCTGAAAAAGAACAACACACTGTGTTGAAATCACACGAATGGATCAAAAAGTATATATTTTTTAAAAAGTTTGTTCTATTCTTTGAGTTTCTTTCTCCATTATCTATTAACTTCTAAATGAATGTATGTGCAGCTAAAAATAACTGGAGTCCACTGCAACATATGAAGCATGTTTACTGGCATTCACTGTGAAACAAGTAAATTATTTTGTATAATTATCAAGCAAATCTCTGATATAATCGCTGATTACTATTGTGTAACTTTATTTTAAAAAGCAGGATTAATAATGGATGTTGAATATCCAGTCTATCCATCCCACCATCAACAAGCGAGCTTTCAGCTTTTATTCCACCGCTCTCCATAACTCCATCCCAGCATCCCTCAGACTCTCCCCTCCCTCCTCTCATTCAAAGCCTAGCTTAAGATTTGTCTCTTTGACAATGCTTTCAATCATCTCTCCCACCCTTTTCAGTTTCTACCATCCAGCTCAGATGCTCATCCAGCTGAATAAAGGGCTTTGAGACGTACTCCCAACATGCAAGCTGCTGTATAAATGTAAATTGTATTCTATCTATTTTAATATACTGATTGATCTGACTGCCTTGTAGCAACACCTGAACTTGGAAGAGTTCAAAGATGGAAGAATGCATCTCACATTACTGCTTAAAAATTCTGTTCATTGATTCATGTTTGTTGGTTTCAGCACAGGTTGAGTCTGTATCTTCAGAAAATCAATGAGGTGTCTGTCTTAAGAAAATCTTTGGGATTTGCAGTGAGCAGGCTTTTTTAGATCAGAGTGTACTCTGTTTTTTAATATAAAAAGACTGCAAGACTCCACAGATAACCTAACTATTGTACAGTGAAGCTCTGATAACTCATCACTCCAAGGGAAGTAGCTCAAATGACAACTTATCAGGGTTGGTGACTTATCCAAAATATTATTGCTATTAGCTATACTGTTTATGGGCCACTCTGTAGCAGTGCTTTATTTAAGAATTAGCATGACCACTGATACATAAACATTTTATAATGCAATATGCGTTTTGGCCACAAATATACAGTCAATTCACTTTACAGTATATTCTGTGAAGGGCTTTGATATGTCTAGAAGATATGAAAAACGCAACATCAAATGCAAGGATTATGATTATTATAATATCTTGTATTAGACATTGAAGACTGATTTGAATACTTAATACAACAGCATAAGATATTTAACTTGAATATAAAATTATATATTTTCTCCCATCAAACGTGTGTGGGTACTCAAATCGGTGCAGGAAAGAAGTTTCTAAATTTCTTTTTTAATTTTTTTTATTCAAAATGCTTGCATATGTCTCGGAAGACATTTAGCTCATACACAAATGCAAGAAATTGAATAACAAGGGATACTCTTACATTAATTGGTACAATTAACTGCATGGATACACTTAGCAAAAATGCCCACAGACACATAAGAATTGTATCTTTGTTTTCCGTCCAATTGTTAAGTATAGTCTGGGCACTTTATACTTTGTTGCAATTGCGGATTTGATTTGCCATCGTTGAGTTTATCAGATATTTCACTTGGGAACATTTCTTAAAATTGCGAAAATCGGACGAGTCATGAAACATCCAGGGTGACCAATTATCAGAGGATCATAGCTAACGTTTCTTATTGGAGATAGCCGGGATATTGAATGAGCGACCCATCATGTGGGGTTGACCACTTATCCCAGGATAAGTTATCATAGTTTCACTGTATTTTTAATCGAAGATCTGACTTGATCCTAAAATAATATAGCTCAGAAGTATTTTCTTCACATATGAAGGCACTGACTCTAGCTTGGGATATGCTTTAAATGTTGCTGGGAGATCTTTTGCTTCTTATCCAAGTGCATAAACATCATGTATAAATCAGACAGGGGTATTGGTTGGCTCTTTGAGGATTTGTTTTTATATCCACATCCAAAACAAGTGCTTTTTCCAACATAGAACACTGAATAACATTTAGAAATGGGAACCCTGGCTGATTTCCCTCCCCCAGTTAGGTAATGGGAGATTTAATCATTTTTCAAAAATGCTGACTGGCCCAAACATGGAGAATGTTCTGTATATTCCATCGAAAGTATGAAACATTATCTTCTGGCTCTGTTACCAGAGCACTAAAATGTGCTGGAGGTCTTGCAGAGGTTTCAGTTAAAACTTCTTCAGATACAAATATTGTATGAATGTGAACAGAACTGTAAATACATCTTAAAATATATTGGAGACTTCATTGGTCTTCGTGACATTACTGCACAGTTACTGATCAGAACGGTTGAACAATCTTCTGGACTATTGCCTGGAAGATGATGTGCTGTTGTTTTCTTTTTCTTAGATTCTATTGAGAAGGAGATGCGAAAATTGTTTACTATCCCAAGTGAAAAAGAGATTCGATTATGGAACAAGTACATGAGCAACACATTTGAACCTTTGAATAAGCCCGATAGCACAATACAAGATGCTGGACTGTATCAAGGGCAGGTATAGTAGTTTAAAATATAGTGGTCTCTTGTTTTATCACTAACCAGAGTTTTTGAAACCAGTCGTGTTTGTGGATTCAACATTGCAGCAGCTCTTTGCAATCATTTTTAGCATCAGTTATGACTTCTGCAGTTACGGACAAGTCATATAAAATTCAATGCACTCCCTGAAACTTTCTTTTTGACAAAGCATAGTGGCATAAAAAGCACTTCCAATACCTAAATTTACCAACTTTCTGAAAGCTTTCTACTTTTCTGTTCCATAGAATGTTTCAGCACAGAAGGTTATTCCATCCATCCTGTCTGCAACTGTGCATTGTAAAAGCTATTTCACCCTACTCCCTTGCTTTATTCCCATTCCATTTTTTCTTGTGTCTCATATCAGTCCATTATTCTTCATTCAAATAGCATGTTCTGGGAATCCACTATGGCATCTCTGTAAAATCCAACTTGTTGCACATTTGTTTTTTTTCCTCAGAGGTAAGACATTCTGCTTAGCACAGGAGATCCTACCCAGCAGTAATGCCAACTACAGATGGGACTTTATCATGACTGTAGTTGGCAGGTTATGAGTTTCACTCAGAACCAGTACTTGAACCAGGGAACATAGGGTTTGACTGGAAAGAAGTACCACTGAGAAATATTAGTTTATTCATCATTACAAAGACCAATGTGGCTAAAGACTGGTAAAACCTTTGCTATACTTTATAAAGAACGTGATGCTTGATTCTGAGAATTGGCTTCATTGTTAACAGGAGTGACAGAAATAGCCATGGACAAGAGGAAGTGAAACCAGACTCAGTGACCCACTAATTCCAGTCCACACTTACAGTGGTCAGACATAATATTACTCATTTTGCTGAGTGTTCTATCCCCTCCTACTTGAGGCAGAAAAGAGGGAAACCAAATAAAACTCATGATCAATTAAGGGGAAAATGGATTTACCTGGAATATTCCCACCTCGAGAAGGCTGTCAGGCAAGCTCCAGGAGAGGTCAGAGCCATCACCAACATGAGAACATTTCTTAACATTCCCTTGCCTCCTGCTGCAGCATGAGTGGCATCACATAGCAGATAAGCTTATCGTCTAACTACAGACAGAGAACAACAACAATCATTTCCTTTAACATTTTGGAATTATGGAGCTATTCATGGCAATATTTTTGATTTATTTGAGTTTCTTGTGCAGCCTAAAAGATATTCTGCCCTGAACTATTTCTCCCTAATCCCCATTCCCCCGATTGTGCTTTATTAGAATTTTAATGAAATGTAACCTCTCTCAAATATGCCACTTCAGGTAAAAACAAAGCTTTCCGATAATGTATGTACTGGGACAACCGTGTGAGTTAACCTGATGATGGCATGACTCCAGTTAAATTGTCTACTTTGTACAGTGTCAGTATGTAGTGAATAAAATTGTTTTAGCTGATTTTCAAATAATCATCTTAATAACATTATTATGATGGAAAGATCCTTGAAATTTATAGACGGAATGGTCTAAATTCAGAACCTTTAAACAACTAAATTACATGGAACTTAATTCAAATCAACTGCAGCAGTTACTGTAGCTCAAAGAATATGAACCTCCTTCCCTTCTGATCCAAATAATGTAAATCTTATCATTCATGGTAAATCTGAGTGCTAATGTGAATTAGTAGAGGGTATCCTTTCCGTACAGTGCCCTTACAGGGCTTGCTTACAAATGGATCATCCTTACAAAATATATTTACCCAGCAGATGATATACCATCTACATAATTGCTCCTGTCACTCCTTGTTAATGTACGGCAGACATTATATTTTTGTTGGCAGAATGAATACACGCTTTATATTCAGTGTGAGTATACGCCACCCTGAATGTCTGTTTTAAGCATTTCTTTTGTGTAATTTAATTGGAAGGTACTGGTAATAGAGCAGAAAAATGAAGATGGAACATGGCCAAGAGGTCCTTCTACGAATAAGTGAGTTTGTCTTATTCTTCAATTGTTTTTTATACACATTTATCTTTCTTGTACTCTTTTAATACAGCAAATCCTGAAAGAACAAATTAGAACATAGGAACAGGATTAGGCCATTCAGCCCGTCCGAGTTTATCAAATAGAACATTCCAATGTTAAATCCTATGGACTAAATCTGGTGTAGAGTTCAATTAAAGCAAAATATCGAAGGCAGTTTACAGAAAATGTAAAACTACAAGAACAGTTCATTGCTTTTCTATAGATTTGTATTTGTACAGAGTGGCACTGCAAGGGTTTAAATGACTGCCAAACTCAGATATCCACAACACTTAGGTTTTGCCTATTCTGTGCTTATTTACTAGAAGAATCACTCCTTTGGGAGGAGTTGGAAGAACTGGCAGAATCTTTGGAAAGTAATCCTTCTGTTGAAGAATCCTTGCTGATGTCTATAAACCAGGAGTTTTTTTTTAGCTAAAAGTCAACATGGAGGCTTAAAGGAATTTGTGTAATTTAAAGGTGAAGAAGAGTGAGAGGAGGAGAATATATAGATTCCAACACATTTATAATACTTGATTATGCTGGTGATTTTAATATTTTGACTGCTGAACTTATCAGTACAACAGGTCAACATAACCTCTTGATTATTTCCAAGGATAGGATTTCACAAACAGGTATTGAAAGCTGGTACTAAATTTATTCTGATCAGTTGTAAAAACATACAGGATCCACTTTTATTTCCAATGAATAAAACTGAAGGTCTTCACAGTTCAACAAAAGGTATATTTGAACAATGCTGTCATAATGGGGTCTAAAAGGTGACAAAACTGTAGAAAAAGTCTGAACTGTAGAATTCTCACTCCGATGTGATCTTCCTCCGAAGCTGAGATCCCATGGATCAGGATGCCAGACTTCCGGTTACCAGGAGTCCCTGATTGCATCTTGTGTATTAAGGAATCAAGTTAGAAATCTCACCATTTTAAACTGCGATATGCAAAAAAAAATCAGTCAATATTCTCTTACCAAGAATAAAACCTGCACTAATATTTATACTGTATTTTATAAATAAAGCGCCCATTGACAACCAATGACGTCCCACAAACAGCCACAAAGGATTGTTGATCAGGACATTGGGAGAAACTTCTCATTTCCACTAGTTGTCATGGGATCTTTAACATTCACTTGAACAAGCAGATGGAACCTCAGTTTAACATGCCAAACAAAATGAACCTCCAGTTCTGTAATGCAATGTAAGCTTAGACTGTGAACTGTCGTCCTGATGTGGTACTTGACCCAGAGGCAAAAGTGCAATCAACCGAGACAAGCTGATACATTGTAAACTTGTTGGAGCATTAACATGAACTCCTCGTAGGAATAAACATTTTGTATGATTTGCAAAAATAACACAAATAATGAACAAGAATAATGGTTAATAAATATTTATAAAAGTATTGTGCTGGTGATTACTTTTTGTTAATCCTTTTTGCTCTGTAAAGTCCATTCTTTCAAAACCCTCTACTTGTGTACATCTCTGTATGTCATGGGGCACTCCCCAGAGTAGCTAAAACACCTCTGAACATTCTGATGACTGGAAAGTTATGATCTTATATTATCTTTAAGCATTCTGCAAAGTAGTTGTTCAGTCCTTGTATTCATTTCTGTACTTTACACCACTAAGGCTCTAACGATGTCTTTAAATGAAATTCAGCAAAACTTTATTTTTGAATCAAAACTTTGAGCACTTTGTCTATTTGCCACATTAATGAAAGAAGTGAAATGGGGTACTGGATAAAATACATTGCTCTGGGTAAGCAATGTTTGGTTGTGTGAAAGCAAGATCAGGGAGTCTACATTAAAAAAGAAAACTTAAAAGCTGATATTTTAGCTTTAATTTGAAGAAGAATGAGGATGAGAGAAATGTTCAATAAAGTTTTTTTGGGTTTTGTGATTTTTTTTAATGTGACACTTTCTGCATTTGTAATAAACATAGCTTGTTTGATGTTAGGCCATTAATCCTGATATAAGGTGGACAGACTTTACAATAGAATATTTCTATATACATCACAAAAATACCTAATCTTTTTATTTATTTGAGGGTGGTTTCATTTAGTTACTTTATGTTTTACTACCATCAACCACGAGCGCACTTCATGTTGGTGGGTGGTGTTCATTAATTAGCAATTAATTTTAATTAATTAACTTGCTCTACAACTGTGTTTGCAAAAGTAGATTATGCAAACTTACTTCTGTGACTGAACACAAATAACCACTGAAATTAAAATCCACAAGCATCATGTCTGGTATGTATGTATATATAAGGTATACAGTTAAGCACACATCTCAAAGAAAAAAAAGTTTCAGAAAATGTCTGGTTTGCATCTTTGTTGAGTGATACTTAAAATAAAGGACAAAATAGACTTTGTAACCCAGTTTCAGTGACTTGTTACATACTGTAAATGTTTCACTGTCTTGTGAAAGGTAAATGAGCAGAATCCAAAGTGAATGTCTGGCCCACAGAAGCTCTTATATGCAGTCTTGCACCGAAATTAATGTAAAGCAAACCATTTCAGTAATCCTGAAATAATATTAAAGCATAAAAAGACAAACTGGAGGACACAAATTAAAATAAAACACTGGATAGCAAAACCAAATAAAAATTATACAGTAGGGTGTCATTAGTTGTATGGGATTCCTTTATTAAGGAACCTGAAGTTATACAAATGGTGAGGGGGAAGGGATTGCTTCCTGTAACTGGTAACAGTATGTCATCTTCTCTAATAGAATTTCCATGGGTTGATGCAAATTAGAATACAAATACTGAAACACAGCCAAATGTGACACTTTCTGCATATGAAATAAACATAGCTTGTTTGATATTAGAAATATTAGCGCAAATTAAACCCGCACATCTTACTCTCCCTTAACTAAGCTGCAAAGGAAATTGGGTTAAATGACAATTAAAACTCTAACATCTGTAAGAGTTGTTGAAATTAATTTTGGTGCCCTTTGCTTAATAAGAGACACCCTCGATATGAACAAAGAAAGGGAAGTAAAATAGAGAAATCCAGAATTTAAATCAGTAAAGGTGAATCCTAAAAATATGGAAGTTAAAGCCATCAAATTAAAAAAAAACAGCTGATTTGTAATTAATGCAGATAATACTAAAATTTTGAGTACACATTTTCTGATGTACACTACCGGATTGCTTCAGGTTTATGAATTGTGCTAACACCATGTATAAATCTGGAAAATTATAGAAAAAATCTGTAAATACTAAAATGGTTCATGCAGTATTGATTTGCAATTTGTTGCACACATGTTGTACACATGAACACTGTGTAGTCCTTACAACAATCTTTGCGGAGACCTCTATTGGCAATGGAAGGGACAAGTAACAAATAAACTGAGAAAGGCTTTTTTTTTAATCTATTGGGTTATCACATGGCAAAATTACTCATCCTATATAAATTTTCAGGATTAGGCTCTGCAACACTCCCCCAAGTTTATTCAAGTCATTAAATGGGATGTGAACCCACAACCTGTGACCCGGTGTAATACCAATTGAGAAAAAAATTGTAAGTTGTCATACAATTTAGGTGATCTTTACTGTAGCTCCATCAGTTTTTGTGAATTATTTGCTTCCAATTCTATAAATCTAAAAATAACATTAACTCATGTTTGGATTATGATGGAAGAACAAAGTCAAGTCAACTCTCACCCTTAATTTTCTCACATTCCAATGGACAGTTATAAGATGAATAACTTGCATTTGTATAGTCTCTTCACATAGATAACATCTTGGACTATTTCATGGTGGCTAGATTGGATTCCCAGTAAAAAATATTAATCAATCCAATGCAATAATTATGAAAATTATGAAGAACTCAAATTGCAGCTATGAGAAAAGAAAAGAAAACAGTGGGGGGAGAAAAATCTCAAATTACAAGAAAAACAGGAAGGAAAAGCAAATCGACAAGTTGCATGAGCTTAAATCGTAAATGACAAGTATAAAAGGCTGACACTTCCCATGACCATGGGAGCCTGATGGTACTGTTTTTCATGTTTTCCTAGTGCTTCAATTCACATTTCTCGTGCACAAATTTCTGTCGGATTTCTCTGGTCTATGTGCCTGCATTTTGAACTTACAGTGGTTGCAAAAAAAACGGAAGACCTGAGCTTTTTGTTTATTAATAGTCAATAATTTGAGGGCTATTCTATTTCACAAACATTCTTTGGGTGTTTTTGAATGTTTAGTGATCACCACTTTTTAGTGCTAGTAAGAAAATGGGATGTTTATTCATTATTTCATTTTATATAATTTTAGTTGTCTGGCATGTTGGAAGTGCTCCAATATAGGTCCATCCACTACTCCAGCTTGGCATATTGATAGAACGTGGAGGGGCAGCCCCCTTCCTATTCCCTGAGTAGGGATTCTTCCTTCTTAGCTCCTGCAAGTCATAGCCCGAACAGGCAGAGTGGTTTTAGCAGGACAAGCAGAAGGAAAGCTTGACAAGACAGCGTTTTTATCGGCAAGCTATGCAACTTTAGCTGGTTAAACTCCCAACAGTATTTCAATACACACTCTGGGTTCCCCAAGCCTTGGCTCTTGAAAGTCTTTAGCTAACATGCTCCCGAATTAGATAAGCAGAATGCGTCCCTCTCAGAGAAAGTGCACATTCCATTCCAATGTGCTTATTTCCATATGTAAGTGGCAAGCATAGCAATTAAGAAAATCATTAGTTTAATATAGTTACAATTGTGAAGAACTTTTAGGTGATACATTTCTCTATGACTGGTTAAAATAGGAAGTTATTAGTTTATTGGTCCTAGTTCCTACATTACAAAAGCAGAATATGGCCGTTTAGTGTGCCTAATTAGCCCCCAAGTTAAAATAATTGAAATAGAATATCATTTGAAGTAGTTGAGAATGATGTAAAGGTAATATATAATGTTAATGATGTTTTATTTTTATAGTCCTCCAGATTGGGACTGCAAAAAGAGCTTGCAGTACATTGTCATTGAATAGAATCAAGTTAGTTAGATCAAGAGTGAAACTTTACCCATTGCAATAGTGAAATTGGGATTATGAATTTAATTTCTATATGATTAACATTCTCCATTGAACTTAAAACATCTTGTTTTCTATAGAAATGGTCAGCCTTTTAAGTTTTGTGAATTGTATAAGGAGTGGAATACGTCTTGTAACCTCTTTTGTGCTAATCCTTTGGATGATGTCACAAGCCCCTTATGACCTCTTCGTGTGCCATCTAATTTGAATGAACACTAGCATGAATTTGAACTTCCATCTGCAGGTTATTGTTCATTGGATTTGATGCCAAAGCAAATTTAGCAATGGTGCATTGTAAATGAGCCATCGCTTTCTTATCATTTGGCTTCTGGCAGCTCCCTTTCGCTGCAGCAATGAGAGTTTCAAACATCACAGCAATTTACAAATGCAGTGGAATAAGTGTAGCAGTGTTTGCCTGAACCATTCAAATCAGAAGTATAAGTCCCTACATTTTTTGCACAAGGTCACTTCACTTTGTGTATAATTCTGTATGATAAATTAGAAGGAACAAGCTAAGTGAACCAAATCTGTTCAATTTTTAATGTTAACAGCAATGAATCCAATACTTTTCTCTTATATGCAGTAAAGTTGGTATCTCCCTGTTGTGCTTTGAAAGCTGATTAGTTTACAATTCAACATAAATCTGACAAATTTCAGCTGCTTTTGACTTAACATTTGCACTGCATAATTTGCAGTGCATAACCCAGAACTGTTTCATTCATGCATCTGTGTTTACTGAAGTAAAATATAAGATTTTAAATGAAATAAATGTTGAGGTGAAATAATTTCTACATTACTACCTTTGTAGTACCTAGTACACCAAAGTTCTACTTAGGATCACTACCCAATTTACAGAACTTGCTTTACAATTTGGATATTTTCTTAATTTGCTATCAGATCATGATCATTTCATCAAAATTAGTTTTCTTTTTTTATCAAATTTTACAATCTCATTATTTTTCAAGGTCTCCAAGTGCATCAAATTTTTCAACTTTGCCAAAGGTTTCCCCTTCATCTCTCTCAAATAATTATAACAGCTTCAGCAACAGAAAGTAAGTAGCATCTCTTTAGAACTGTGCGCGTGTGTGTGTGATGTCTTTGCATGCACCTCTTTGAGTTTATGATTAAAGTGCATTAACCACATAGATTAGAGAAATCAAGTCTTTGGAAGTAGTTTTCTGTTATTAACTAACTAGTGTGATGCTTTTTTAATGCCCTATAATTTAGTATTTTGATAACCATGGAAGAAGATTTAAAATTGATTGTATAATATTGCACTGTTATCATTTTGATGGAATACTTGGAGGGTAGTGGCAAAAATTCAACTGATAGTTTGAGGTTTGACCAGATTGTTTAAATGTACCATCAGAGCATGAGGAAGGGTAGCCACATCAATTAGAATTCTGCATGGTTGTGTAAATCTAGTTCTGATTCCTAGCATTAGTTTGGGGTTCTTCAAATTTTAAGTCCTGCATGTTGTAATCACCTTCTCAGTTGGAGACTAAGCATTTAGTTGTTGTCACATTTCTGTTCATGTTCTGGAGTTCTATTGCCTGGCTGGACATTGTGTTTTGTGCAAATTTATATTTCTTTAGGAATTTGTTTAACCTGATTTCAGGTTAGGATACAGAAATAATTTTTGAGCATTTCCTTTTGTATTAGAATTTTCATTTGGCAATAATTACTATCATGCTAATTCCTGTAGAAACTGGTCATTGGGTGACGTTAACGGTTTACATCTTAGTCTGTTGAGCATTTCGTGGCTGGAGGTTTTGTTTGTCTCGTAGGTTTCACTGTATTTAAGTGGATCTGATTGGTGACAACTGAGTATTGTATTTATGTGGTTTCTCGGTTACCTAATCAACTGCACCAAGAGAAGCAGTCTGTCTAGTCTGAAAAGCACTGTATTGTAATTAAGCATTCCCCAGTTTTACAAAAACATATTGTGCTACAGTTTTAGCTCTAAAGCAGATGTGCTTTGGTAGTTGGGAAAGATCAGGCAGGCAAGACGACCAAAAAGGATATATCTGTACTGACTCATTGTTTCACGAACAATGGGGTAAACCAGTTATCAAAATAATAGAAAAGTTGTCAATCAGGTTGAGCACTGCTTGTCACTAAGTGTTAACTTCAGTGTTTTCCCAAACCTGTGGCTACCCAATGATGACTATTGTATTTGAAAGACTTGCTGTGAAACATCAATCGTTGGGCTCGGTTTAGTTACAATCATGCAGCCAAGTGCTCTGAATGAGTACAGCCTGCATCATGCAATTGAAGACATGGCATTGCATTTTGCTCATTCTTAAACTAAGCCTCCACGTTCACAGGAACCCAGGCTGATGCTGCACCTGCACTTCAGTCATCTGCTTCTGCAGAGGTTACCTGCAGTGAAGATCCGCACAGTTATTACTCCCTGAGGAGGTAGTTTCCATGACTTTTTGATTAGAAATCTGTCCTTTGTTTACAGAAATTGGAACACAGTTAACTACCACCTGCTGAAACCAGGTGTAATGGGCATTCATCGGGGAATGGGCAATTTCTGGTTTATCCAATGAGCACCCTTAACTTTTACTGTGCCCCCAGTGACTGCCACGGTAAATTGCTTGATATCTACCTTTATTGGAAGTTGGCTCCAGTTAACTCTGTTATGCAACAAATATAAAAACAGCGTATTGAATAAAAACAGCTAGATTTTAAAGCTGGAACAATTGTTATTGATTATATTTTCCTCTAGAAGAAATAACCTTGACATAATACTTATGTGAGTCATGATGAGACAGTTATTTTGTTATACATTACAAATAAGTCATATGTCCTTGTAATAGATAGTCAGTAGCAACTTCAGTTCCAGTTTTCAACTGTAGAGAAATGTCATTCACTTTGGTAGGAGGAATAAAAAAGCTGACTATCAGGAATAAGGAAGCAATGGTAAGAATCTAGAGGTACGAAAGAAGGTAGGATTCAGATTCATAGGTTCTCTCAAAAGTAGCAGCATAGGTGGACAAGGTCATAACAAATACAAATAGACTGATTGGTTTATGACTAGAGTAATAGAGTACAAAAGTAGGCATGTAATGTTAAATTTTCATGATACCTTCATTAGTCCATCTTTGGAATCTTTGTACACCAAAGATCCTCAAACAGATTATTTTTGGAAATTTGTTGGCCAAAGACACCAGGAGAATCTCATTACACAGAATGTCATGAAATCGTTAAATGTCCACCTGAAAAAGAAGATGGGTCCTCATCTGAAGGGCAGCATCAACAACAGTGTAGTGTTCCCCGAGTTCTGTACTGGAGTGCCATTCTAGATTATGAGCTCAAGTCTAAATGGGACTTGGGACTTGAACCCAGAAGAGAGAGTGCTACCAACTGAGCTAAGTTGACGCCTGAGATCTTTGAAAACACGGTAAACATTACAGAAATGTTTTTGATCAGTAGTGCAAATCAGCTGGACTTCAAATTAAAATTTCTAGAAACGCAATGTTGAAGACTATTTTAAGTTGCTGTAATCTTTTGTAAGTGCTGTGATCCTCTTTATCTGCATGTTAACTTCAATTAACCCATCATATTTTTTAGATTTCTGCTCATTGTTAATCAAGTCAAATACTTTAGTGAGTGGAGATTTTCCTGAAGGAGGCAGTGTTGGATTTTCCTCTTGGTTTGTGTTCCTCACTATCGTGTTTTAGCTTCACTAGTTGAAAACGTAACTTTGAAACGGGCAGTGATACTTGTTCTCTTTTCTCGCTGCTAAGCTGCAAGTTTTCCATTTTTTAAAACAACCGTGAAAATGTAATAAGAATAATTATCCTTGCATTTGATCACAACAAATTCATGTTTTCTCTTGTCAGTTATCATGCACGCGAGTAAAATATTGTCTGCTGCCAAATTAAATAGAACGTTCTGCCAAATTAAATAGAACGTTCAGTGCCAAGTAAACACAACGCAGCGAAAATCCAATACTGCTTATCATGTTGTTGAGACGTGTGAAAGCGCTTTGAATGTACATGCTTGAGAGTTCTGTCTTCTTTATGGCAAACCATTAGTCATGCCAGTATTTTGGAAACTAACTTGCATATTATCAGGTCACCTTCCAAAAGGTTCTATCCGTATTAGAACTGATTTTTTCAATTAATTTAATGTTAAATTACACAGTACTTAAAGCATTATTCCGGAACGGGTAATGCCAGCCCTTTAAGATGAACAGAATTCAGCTCTCAATTTAAATGAGTCCTTAGGTACAGAAATCCTGCAAATTCATGTTTCTATTATCAGTTTTCATGCACGCGAGTAAAATGTTGTGTACTGCCAAATTAAATAGTATAAACAGTGTAAACATGAATTTGTTGCCAAAAATGATACGGATAAATTGTACTTTGGCATCTCATTTAACTGTCCAGGTGAAAATCTTATCCTGGGATTGATGGATATTGCACTTCTGCTATTTTGGCCATCACTATTTGCAAGCAACCAACATTTTACAGTAAAAAATATGCATTGCATGAAGGTGAAAGAGAGGTTCATCATGTCATATTTCTCAATGTATTCCTCCAATAAATCAATGTTAGCTTCATGGTACTTGGATGCTTTCCTCCTCATAATTCATAATCTGTAGTGATTTTTAATCTACAATCTCCGAATCTACAACTTTTCTGACAAATACAAATTTACATTTATATTAGTGCCTTTCATGTTAGGTTAATGCCCTAAGATGCTTATCAATATTGGTTCCAGCAATTATATTTGTTCCAGAGCCAGAAAACAGAAACTCAAAGTGGTTTGTTGCTTATTTAGCAGAGGGTGGGATGCTGTTCTTTCTTCTTCCTCCAATCCATTGAGTTTGATGACCAAACTGCTCCTTGCTTAAGGCTTTGAGTGACTACTCACTCCACCCAGCAGTAGAAAAAATATATGCTTTTGTGATAAACCCATGTGTTTTGATGGCCCATCCCCCTCTGCTGGTGCTGCCAAGATGTCACTGAGGAAGAGTAGGCATGTGCATATCAAACAGCCTCCATTAACCTTTCCATTGGTTTAAGAGCCAAATTAGACACAAACTAGGTTATTGGCTGAGTGTTACTGATACTTGCAGGACCGTGCTCTAGATCAGTTCCCCGGGCCAGTCAAAGGTATGCAACTGTGTCAAAGCACGTTGTAAGAATAATCCTTACATTTTATATCGCGCCTTATGTTATTGTAAGGTCTCAAAATGCTTCACAGGATTTTACTGTGATGTCTGGTGACTGTATTTTGTAGGTTAATGTAGCCAATTTGCACATAGCAGAGTCCCACAAACAGCGATGAAGTGATTGACCAATTTTAGCTGGGCATTGTTGACCAGGACACCGTGACAGTGATTCTCTTTTGGAATAGACCTATGGCATCTTTAATATTCACCTGAATAGGCAGATGGGACCTCAATTACCATTCATTTGAAGGACAGCACTTCTGATAACGCAGTGCATTCCTGACACTGCATTCAAATATCAGTAGAATATGAGCTCAAAATCCCAGTCTGGGGTTTGGGCCAACAACCTTCTGACTCAGGAGCATTGGTGCTACTATTTGAGCCAAGCTGACACATTAAAACTGGTTCAGGGCTTGTGTGTAAGTGGTATTGCTGGAGCAGCCTGGCAGAGTAGAAATCCTCAAACAATGAAGATATTTTGCTGAAGATATATATGTTTATAAGATTATAGTTTCTGTCTATAGCAAGAACAAGTACTTTGAGCATCATCCTTTCTGGAAACTTTGAGAACCATCCTTTCTGGAACTTCTTCCAGCTGTTATTAACCTCTATGTAAAGAAATACTTCCTGATGTTCTTAACTGAGCACTGAAAGCATCTTACTCAATAACTTAACAACTCTCACATGTTTCTCTAAGTAGCTTGGGATATAGTTCACCATTCTTGAGAGTTTTTCACCCTTTAAGCCTATCTGAAACATCTGCCTCACCAATGTCAAAGCCTGCCCCTTTAAGTGAGCACTCCTGATGTTTCACATTTTAAGACAATACTACTGCAACTTGAACTTTTATCTTTAAGTGAATGTTCTAACACCAGAATATGAAGTGCCATTTATTCTTGTGTTGCTGCGGGTCAAGTAACAGTGTACACCGTCCCATTTTTCTCTTTGTTCACTTCTGCAGCAAGGTCATACAAGATCATGTCGAACATCATCAACCTCAGGAGCCACGAGTTAAGCTTGAGGAAGAGGTTTAAAAATTCACACATTTTATAGGCGTCTATTTTCCTTTACTCCTCTTTCTCCTCAAATTTCCAAAAGTATTATGTGGGTGACACACTATTTGCATTTTCATATGTATAAATGTGACCTTGTGTTTGCGGACAGTATGTTTGCTAAAATAGCATTAAATAAACCTACCGAGTAAAGCACTTTGAAAAGATTAATAGAGTTAACAGGATAACAGCAACCAGAATAGTGTGTTTTTTTTGCGCAGCGGAAAAGAGAGGAGAGACTATTCCTAGTTGATTGCAGTAAATTTCATTTGAGAAGGAATCTGAATAATTTATTATAGTTTGGTCAGGAATTTCTTTTTATTTAGCTGGCTCAGTTTTCTATCACAGTTTTCTACCATAGTAATACAGTAGAATTTTTAACCACTTCTTAATGACTGCTTTACTAAGTAGGAGTGTAATGCTTTTCATCATCAATGTTCTTTGTAAGTCACCTTGAGATACCTAATTGATTATGTCCCTGGTGCATTATTTCTCAACTGCTTGGAAATAATTTAAAAAATGTCATTTTTTAATATCATTGATTCATAGTTTTTCAAACTCTGTGGATCACCATAACATTCCTGCTTCTTTGCTTGAAAGCTTGAGACTATAATGGTTACTGGTTGGGAGGGAATTAATTCAGTCTTTAGCTGATCATTGAGATTGTCTCAAAGTATAGCCTCCTTTCTGATATAACCAAAGTCAGGACAGTCTCTTTCAGTTTGTCCTACTCATAGCTTTTCTGCACGGTTGCTTGCCAGGATGCATTAGTCAGTTCCCCTATTCCACCAGAGTCTCTGCATGTGAAACCTAGATTGTGCTCTCTTAGCAGAGACTGCTATAAATAGATCCTTTAATGCATTGAGCCAATGATGTCATGGAGGCCTTGGAATGTCTGCACCCTCACCTGTAACTGAAGCACTCTTTCCTTCAGGAGTCCTCTTAGCTTAGACTCCATGATGGTTGCAGACAGTGGGAGGAAGAAATGACATGATTCTATGTTGCTGGTGTATAAAGTCAGACTGCTTAAAATTAGAAGATGTGGAAAGCAAAGTGAGCTGTGAAAAACCTCCTTTAAATCAATGGTAGAGATCCTAGTACTTTTGTGTGAGGAATCTTGAACTGTAGATTTATGTATTATGTCAGTGATACCGACAGCTGATTTTTGGTATCCTACAATGTGGGCCTGAATTATCTTTAAATCTGGATGTTTTATTCTGCAATTGCAATATTTTGCAAATACGTAAGGTGCAAGTTCAGCCCTTAATATTGTTATTATTAAAATGTGGATCTGTAGCCCTAAACTATTGTAAGAACAATAATTGACACCTAATTTTTTTTTGGTAATTAAACATTATTTTTCTTTCAGTGTGAAAAATTCAAACTACTGTATCCCCTCATATTCTGGCTATAACAACTACGATTATCTAGAGCCAGGAAGGCACAGTGAACAACCTGGTCTCTGTGGCCTGAGTAACTTGGGGAATACGTGTTTTATGAATTCTGCAGTTCAGGTAGGTCATTAACCCTAGATTTATAACAATTCAGTGTTTTAAATGTTTATTATTGTGTAACAAGGGCTCTTGTTTTAACATAATTAGTTTTTGAATGATTGTTGGTGCGTTAACTCATTTTATAAGATAGCAAAGAACAGGGATATCTTTTCTTGCATTTAAAATTTGATATGAACATTTTTGTTACTAACTTGCCAATGCAAGCAAAATCACTCCACAGTGACTCACTGTACAAATTCTGTCCCTGCTTACCAAGTTTGTCTTGGTAAGAGGTAGTTCAGAGGAAGGTGAGAAACACACTAGTACCCCGTTATAACGAGTTTCATGATAATGCAGATTTGCTTATAGCGCAATTAAGGTGTTAACGCTGAAATTTACTTATCAAAAATATAAAATAAATAGAAAGCCGGCTAGTTCACTTCAAATCATGTTGTCTCATTTCAAAACACCAGCTGGGTTCTCCCACAATTAAAAAATAAAGTAATCCTTGCATTTGATATAGCGCCTTATCAGGTCGAAATATCTCGGAAGTGCTCCACAGGATATACAGTAAAAGTGGATTGACTGTGTATTTTATGGGCGAAATGCAGAAGACAGTTTGTGCACACCTATGTCTCACAAACAGCCATGGAGTGGGTGACCAATTTTATTTGGGAAATTTGTTAGTCAGGACACCGGGAGAAACTGCCTTCTCTTTCAAATAGCACAATGGGAACTTTTAACATCCACCTGAAAAGGCAGATGGGACCTCGGTTTAGAGTTTCATCCGAAGGAAGGCACCTCCGACAATGCAACACCTTCCCAGTACTGCGCAATCCGTTTGGACTATGTGATTCCAAGACTCAACGTGGTGCTTGAACCCACAATCTTCTGACTCCAAGGTCGAGAGTGCTACCACTGAGCCAGGTTGACACACAATTCCAGTCATTAGACGATTACCGATATCACACTGTGCAGTTGTGCACAGAAAGTTATGTTGGAGTGGGTACCCAGATAACCTGGAAAGAAACCATATTACAGCGCAGGAAGCCAGCTTTCTGCACGGTGATTGCAGAAGCACTCCATTATAGGACGGATTGGAATATTACGGACCCTAACGACTGTTATAATGGAGTATACTGTATATTATGTTGCTTTTTTCAGTTCTAAATCTATGTCACATCTTTACTTTAAGATGGTTTGCAGAAGAGGAAGAAAATACAAAGGCTGTTACCCAATTTGTCACTGCAATAGCCCTTTACCCTCAACATGTTTCTTTGGCTCAGAACTACTTTATTTTACAAATCTCTGTAGTAATTGATGTATCCAAATTAAAATTTGCATTGGATGTTAATGACTCTTCTGCCCTATCCCTTGTTTTTATTTTCTGCTTATCAATTAACCATTTAAGAGAGTTAGGCAGCCTGTTTCTAATCTTTTAATGCTCAGCTTTATCCAGTAACTTGAAAGAGTGCAAAGCAGCCTTAAATAACTAGGCAGCATTATTTTCTCCTTATCTCCTCCTCCACTCACCCCTTACAGCACCACAGGGACAGACCACATGGCCTCTATTTTATACTCAAATTTAATGGAAAATTGTGAATTTGCCTTATGGAGAAATATGAGCATAAATCTAAGTTTCTCCACTTAATGCTACAACTGTCAGAGCAACAGGGCAATGTTTTCTCATCCCATGTTCATTTTATTCTGTTTTTTTCATATTTACTGTGCTCTTTAATTGCACTTTTTTGTGCTGTGTTCTGTTAGCATCAGTTTGGTATTTCTTGCTTTGCTCCTGGTTTTCGCCTGTTGCCTACCTTTGATGATTGTTACAACATTTGTGTGCAAAAGGTAGCTGTGAAGTTTTTAACCTGGTAGATTGGAATAACTCATATTCCTATATCTGGCTAATTATGATTATATCATTTATTTTTTATTGTTTCATCCTTTTTGTTTTCCAGTGTCTAAGTAATACATCCCCACTGACTGAATACTTTGTGTCTGATGAGTACATGGATGAGCTAAATAATGACAACCCATTAGGAATGAGAGGAGAAATAGCGAATGCTTATGCAGATCTCATCAAGCAGATGTGGTCAGGAAAATATAGCTATGTTACACCGAGAGCATTTAAGGTATGTATTCAAAATATTATGGTGATTTAAAGAACTTGACATTTTTACTTTGCAGGAGTTTAACTACCTAAAAGGTCCTCTTCAGTAATGCATTTTCAGGCTGACTTTTCATGTCATCTATTTATTTGAACAACAACTTGCACTTATATAGCGCCTCCGAAGGCTTAACAGTGGCAGAGCCTGACTCTGAGCCGGGAGGAGGAGGTGGCCGTAAGCACGGTCGAAGATGAAGGTTTTCAAGCAGGTCTTGAAAAAGGGGAGAGAAGGGGCAAGGCAGAGGGATTGAGGGAGGATGTTCCAGTGTTTTGGGGTATAGTGGCTGAAAGCGTGACATCCGATGGTGGGGTAGACAGTGCAAGGGACGAGCAGGAGGCCGGTGCCAGTCGAGCAAAGGCACAATGTGGTGAATTGGGGAATGAGGAGGTTGGAGAGGTAGGGAGGTGCCAGAGAATGAAGGAATTTGAAGAAGGATGATTGGATGCTCTAGCCTATTTTTATTTGATCACATGAAAAGCGGGGTCCTGGAGGATTTATTTGAGGGAATATTACCACAACCTTTTAGTTTTCCTTTATTCTTTCTTCAGTCCTGTGAAACCTCTATTACCTATCACAGGACCTCGGTTTTCAAACTCCATTCAAAGGCTTAACATTTCTGTTTTACTCCAGATGTTTCATCAGTGGCTCATATCAATGTTCTTCTGTAAAATAACAGGACTTCACAATAGATTTTCACATTATTGAAATATAGTTGAAATAATAATAATCCTTGCATTTGATGTAGCGCTTTTCATGTCTTCTAGATGTCTCAAAGGACTTCACAGAATATTCTGTAAAGTGAATTGACTACATTTGTGGGGCAATATGTCCTGGATCTTTGAACATTCAATTGTTATAACCTTGGATAAAATCGTTAGGGTTTGGAATGCCTTTTAATCACGGTTTACAGTGATCACATAAGAGGGACAAAATGCTACGTGGCCATTAAAATAAGATTAGTTCAATTGTGGATATCAGTCTGGCTCAGTTGATCGGACTCTTGCTGTACTCTGGTCCAGATTGGGGGAGGCTGGATTGTTGGAGATGTTGTCGTTTAGGCAAGATGTCAAACCAAGTTCCAAGGCCACTATCTGAAAAGAGAATTTCTTGATGTCCTGGCCAACAATCCCACGGAGAAAAAAAATGGTCATTCATCTTGGTTGTTTGTGAGCCATTTTTTGTTATAATCGGCTTTTGCATTTTGTTTACAAATTCGGTCAACTGCACTTTACAGAAAATCTTGAGTGCTTTGAGATCTTTCATTGTGTTTAGGTACTGTATCAAATGTATGGATTATTATTATTTTTGTAGATGTGAAGTATTAATTCAACAAACCCTATGAAGTTGTTGAATTTTTTAATTTAAAATTGAATTTTATTTGAAACATATGGGATTAATATCACCCTTTTAAAGCTACTTATGTTTAAGCAGTTTGCATAAGTATCAGTTCTATGAGCAATAAGGACAGGTCCCTGGAATTATCAACAGTCTGATGTCCCCTTTGGATTACAGAACCACGTTAAAACAAAGCATTCTGTGATGCAGGCTGCCCGAGTGCTATGGAATTTGACACGTTTACCATGCAAGGTGGATTCTATAGCCCTAGACAAAATTCCAACAGCCGTGCTTGTATGAGTGCAACCATGCACAGCTGTTAATTGAAGTGGGAAAGCCTGTACTGACTAATGAGGGAAAGCATGCGGGTGATGTTTATGTACAAGCTGAGAGCTCAGTGTTCTTACTTGTGGACAGAAGTCTTGTACTGCCTCTAGAGGAATCGAGCTCTGGAGCTAGGTTTCAGCGGAAGGGTTGGCAGAAGCCTTGCTGCTGGCCTGCCCATCCTAAGGCTTGTTGATGAGCCAGGCCTGCTGGTCTGTTATCAGTAATACCTTGAAGAACTTCAGACTCACCTGCCTCAGGAATCTGGCTACCAAGTCTGCCTCAGGATTGACTGCTTCTAACATGTAATTACCAAGTACATCACCAGCTTGATTCCAAGGAGACCCTTTCTCCCTCCTTACCCCCCATCCCACCTTAGAAGTAACTTGTTAAAAAAGGGAAAGGCAAGTAGTAACAGAATTACTGCACAATAGTGATTAAATTGAGGATCTTCAGATGATGCATGGGAATTTGAGTTTCATTTTCTCTCCTGCTAAATTGTATAATCCATTATTTAAAATATCAATTACTCGATTTTTTTCCTGTGTTTTAGACACAAGTGGGCCGTTTTGCACCTCAGTTTTCTGGCTATCAGCAACAAGACTCTCAAGAATTGCTTGCATTTCTTCTTGATGGCTTACATGAGGATTTGAACAGAATAAGAAAAAAACCATACATTCAGCTGAAAGATGCAGAAGGAAGACCTGATGAGGTACAACAACTTGTGTTTTTAAACAGAGGTTAATACATATATTATTATTGAACGTTAACTTTTGAGCAAAATACTTTCATTATGAAGTATGTCTCTCCTGTCCCTAAACATATTATCAGTAAAGATGACCTCGTTGACCACTCTGTTTGTTGATGCAAAGGTTAAAGAGGAATGTCCCTCAAACCCAAGACAGTTGCATAATCTCCCCGATTGTCTTTCTTGATTTTCCTTAATGTCGACAACCAAGCTCTCCCTCTCTTTCTCTCTTACCTTCAACTTCTTTTCTTTCCTTTCACTTTCTTCACTTCTCTCCCCCCAGCCCCCGTATCATCAATTTACACTAGGTACTCTTTGGGCTCTAAAAACGCCATTTTGCTTTTCCATATTCTTTACCAGTTTATGGGAAACATCTTGTAACAAATCTTTTCAGTCATGTTTTATTCCCCAAAATGCAATAATTACTTGTACAGCTAACAATATTGAGCAATGTGAGTTGACTTGTAGAATTGCCAACATTATTCATTTTTAGAGTTGCCTATGTCGACTTGTGTTGCTTTATCTTGTGAAGATAGTCATAGTTTGTCTTTTTCCTTTCTTTAGGTGGTTGCTAAGGAGGCATGGGAAAATCACAGGAAACGAAATGATTCTATTATTGTTGATATTTTTCATGGTCTTTTTAAATCTACACTCGTTTGTCCTGAATGCTCTAAGGTTTCTGTGACTTTTGACCCATTTTGTTATTTAACACTTCCTTTACCCTTGAGAAAAGAACGCACTTTGGAAGTTTTCCTTGTTAGAATGGATCCACTCACCAAACCTATGCAGGTATGAGAATTGCAATATTGTACTGGTATTAAATTGGAACCATACTTTTTTCTTAAAAAATGCAAAACAATAGATTTCATATGTGATGGTACTATATATGGGTACAATTCCAATGTGATTGTGGGTTGATATAATTTTGGCCATTTTTCATGGCTAAGGATTTGTTTAGGAAGTTTTCTGTATTTGCCATTCATAGGCATTTCACAATTTGCAAATGTCTATTTAACTAAAGATCTTCTGTTTTCTTTCAGTATAAAGTAGTTGTTCCTAAAATAGGTATTATTTCAGATCTGTGTGCAGCACTGTCTACTTTATCAGGTCTCCCTGCAGACAAGGTAAGGAATGTGTTCCTGTTATTAATTGTTCAGTTTGGTTTCCAGTTATGTTTATTCCTTCAATGTAATTTAGTTTTCTTTCCTGTTGTATTCAGATGGTAGTTACAGATATATATAACCACCGATTCCATAGAATATTTTCTATGGATGAAAATTTGAGCAGTATCATGGAAAGAGATGATATCTTTATGTAAGTAAACATGTGTACATATAATAATTAATGTTGCTACTTCTGATTATTGTCATATATTGTTAACACATACAGGACAAAAAGTTCATAGGGAATTAGGTGAGAAGGGAGAATAACTTGTCTTATTAAAGTCCATATCATTACAGCATCAAGCTGCTTCTTGAATGAGTCCAGCATCCACTCTTCCTGATAACATGTAACATGATCTTGTTCTTAATTACCTCTGTAAAGAACTATTTCCCACTGCTTTGCTGAAATTATCCTTCGCAACCCTCTTGTTCTGCTTTCTGCATTTGCTTTCTCATTCCCATTTAGAATCTTACATTCCTCTGCTACAAGATCTACTGTAAGAATCATCTTTCCATTCCTGAAGAACCAAGTTTATCTGATCATTGTTCATCGGTCGTTCCTCTAGCACTGGAGCTCATTGCTCTCTAGGTATCCCTTGTATGTCACGGGTGCCAGAATTGTATGTTGTACTGTAGGTATGGCCTGAACAAGCACCACTGTACTTTTAAATTATGTAGCCATTATTCTGAATTATGTAGACATTATAGTGAATAGATTTTTTGTTTTATTTTCCCTTGCATTCATTCACTTAAACTATTCTAATCGGTCGAGCCTTCGGCCTTTCTGTCCCCACCCTATGGAACTCCATTCCACATTGCCTTTGCCTCGCTTCTTCCCTTGCCTTCTTCAAGGCGTATCTTAAACCCTCCTCTTTGACCGAGCCTTCTGCCACCCTCCTATTCTCCCTGCCCTCCAACCTCCCCAATCCCAGCCCCCAACTTGGGTCCAAATCCCTGACTGTCCAGCGCCTTGGGAAATCCTCCCGACATAAAAGGCATTATTCAAATGTAATTTTGTATCTGTAAAGATGTCAAACCATCTCTTACTTGTTTACCAAGCATTCAAAAGGTTATGATGAAACATGCCGTTGAAAATAGTAATGGGTCTTCCAATTCTTTTACCTTATTTAAAGCATTAGCAGAAAGATTGTAGAAAACTAATGTGTGATACATTGAAATTCTTTTGTTAATAGTTTTGAAGTGTCTGGCAGTAGGACAGATGACACAGACAATGTGGTAATTCCAGTGTATCTACGTGAGAAGTATCGGCAGCCAAGCTATAGCCACCATAGCAGCTCTTGCTTGTTTGGTCAACCATTCATGATATCCGTGCCTAGGAACATTACTGAAGAGAAGCTCTATAACCTATTACTTATGAAAATGTGGTGAGTGTTTAACCTTTGCAATTCTTTATGCTTCTTATGCAAGACCAGCATTTCTAACATTGATAGCTTGTCTAGTGTTCGCGAATTAACAAAACTAGCAGTACTGTGGGCTGAGTAGACTGGAAACCTTGACTGCCCAGATCATGTGTTAGTAATGACAATTTTTCTTTAATATTTGCTACAAAATCCTGTTAAGCTTTCAACTCTGTTTCCAAAGCAAACCAGGAGCACCTCAGGGGCTATGCTCGCTAGCAGTGATACAACAATGAAAATACCATTCGGTCGTGATCATTTTGTTTGTGGAGGGGGTTTGCAATGGCACCAGCACAGTTTTACTTCACATTCAGTACTAAATTTTGAGTAACTCTTAAGACCGAATATTACGAATATTCGAGTTATCAATTGAAATAGGTTCAAAGTTAACCCGCATCCATTGGGGGTGACTGCATCTTTAAACTTGGGTTATTTCTTATTGTAAGTAGAAATGCACCAGTAACAAAATAAACAAGAGGGAAGTTTTTTGAAATACTAAACATATTTTCCCCTGCTTTTAGCCGATATGTTAGAACACCTAATGAGAATGAAGATGAAGAAGCAACTCTTCATTTTGCCAAAGACCACGGTATCAATGGCAATGAGCAAAATGGTGTACATGAGGAGGGATCTCCAAGTAAGATTTGAGTGTTTCTAACTTGGTAAAATGTCACAAATCTCAATGGCAGTAGCTTCGTAGCTGTTCTTTGGCCTATCCATTCCCTTCTGTCTAAAGTTGTCTGCACTTCTGCATGAAGTTTGAGTACCAAATTACCATTATATTTATATTTAGAGACCATCATATGTTGCTAGAAACTTTTGTTCGGCTTGCTTGATTGCTTCATCTTTTGTAATTTATTTGGTGGTAAATCACATAACTGGGTTGATTTTTTTTAACATTTCCTACACTATTTTACTGAGCACTTGTGTTAAATTTTCTTACCATTCTGTGAGTTATTAACCGGGTAGCTGCCATTTTTTTCTGGCAGTCTGGCTATTGGGGAGTTTGGTATTTGCTATTGCACTGGCTTTGGGTGCGTTCAATAATTCATGCCCACATATACATGTGCTGTTTCAGTGAGTCACAACTTTTTTATTTCTTGTTTGTATTGGTAAATCCCACTGTGATCCTTGGTAATCAAATGGGATTAGAGCTAAGTGGTTTCATGGAAAGGATAAGTTATGAATCGTTCTGAGACATCTCGACAACATGATAAGGTGCTATATCAAATACAAGGACTATTATTATAAGTGTTCAAAATACACTATGACCGTGTCTAAAATAATGAGTTGTTTGATTGTAAATTGTAATTTTATACCTTCATTGTTAATGAAGAGGCAATGCTGCCGCCAGCTCTTTAAAATTAATAACTTTAAAAGCTCTTTTTGCTGAGCTCCACTTTGTTTAAACTTAATTTATTTGGGATGAACCACTTTATATGGAGCTGCCAGTAAAACTCTTTAGTGCCAGGTCACACCACCTGTTGTAGGAGTTTAAAGGCCATTTGGGAAGCCTGCTTTTCTCATTGTGGATTGAATAGATTTCCCATTTTGTGCTAAAATCGACATGTTTTTCAGATCAATAACACATTGGGGAATGTTGTAAAACTGTTAGTGTTTTCCTTTCATGATGTTGCTTATCTATCTGATAGTTTGAAATTGTTATAGAAGAATTCTTTCCTTCTGAAATGTTATGGGATATGGGGATAAGGCAGGGTTAGGATATTAGCTGGAGTTAGATTAGAAGCTCAGCCATGATTTAATGGCAGGGCAGGCTTGAAGGGCCGAATGGCCTACTCCTGCACGTTATGTTATGTATGTTATGAAAATGCATTATTTCAAGAGAGGGGCTTTCTCATTTGGGAGCNAAAAATCTAAACAAAGCCTTTGGTCCTGATGGCTACCATTATTCAAATCCTTGTTCATGCAGTGGCTCTGAAGGAACCTTTGGAGTACCTTTAACTCCCATTAAATATGTTTTGAAATACACCAATGTTGACCAAATTAACCAAGATGTGTTCCATTGCTTTGGTGCATTTAACCTTGAGTTTTTGACAGTCAATTTGTAGCAGCAAGTACTTTAAAATGATGTTGAAATTTACTGCAACAGACAACAACTTGCATTTATAGAGCGCCCTTCAGACAGGTACCATCTCGGAGTACTTAAAACCATCTACAAGTAAACTGATGATTTATAATGAAAGGCGAGATTGGCAGCCATGTTTGTTTTCATCAATATAAAAGGTTAACAAGCCAATGCTGGCCACTTGTGATCAGCTTTCACTCTGGCAAATTGATCCTGGGGGCTCCACTGTACAATAAATAATATTTCAGCTTATCTACAATTATAGTGAGGATGATTATCTCTAAAACAAAGTTCTGCAAGGAAGAGTTTAGTACACAAAAAAAAAGTCCAGTCAACATGAACGATTTTACAGTTACTCTTCATTGTACAGGTGAAATGGAAACGGATGAACAAGATGATGAATCCAGTCAGGATCAAGAACTTCCTTCTGAGAACGAGAACAGTCAATCAGAGGAGTCTGTTGGAGGGGATAACGATGATTCTGAAAATGGCATCTGCACTGATGACACTTGTAAAGGACATTTGTTCCAGGGACACAAAAAGCAACTGTTTACATTCCAATTCAATAACTTGGGAAATGCAGATATAAATTATGTGAAAGATGACAGCAGACAAATCAGATTTGAAGATAGTCGACAAATCAGACTTGATGGTGAGTATTTTTAATGTATTACGAGCCAAACCTCTTGCTCCTTACCCAGATTTGGATGGAGTGCTGGACACACTATTATGAGAAAAGGGTTTATTAAAATATAGCAGCGGGAGACCCAACAACCACAAAAACAGCAACATACACTTAACAGGCAAAACACATCCCATAGTGCCAAAATCCCATGAGCTAGTAAATGACAATCTATATATGCTACACTTTTGTAATATTGCAGCTGGTGCCTTTTCTGACAAGTTATATACTCTTCTTGTTTGCTCTTGCCTATATTGCTAGAAGAAAAAGAAAGCAAGTTGTGCAGCTCAGATTGATGAATTTATTTGGAATGAGCCATGTAGTGCAATTGATTTTTATATATAAATAAAAATGCAGACTTATTTGCACATTGGTATATTTCTGATTCTCTGACTGCATATTCGTGTAAACTTTATTCTGTCTTGTTTATTTTATTACGGGCAATTTTGCAGTATTCCTTAATGAGATCTCATAAGGAAAACAAAAGTTGGTGACTCATGAGATACCGCTCCAATCAATTTCATTTCAGGATAAGGGTTCCTTCGAGTCGGTATGATGTGTGTGATGTACTCCTGGTTATCGGAAGAAGATTCCACTAAAGTTTCTTAACTAACAAATCCCTACAAAAGATACCACCAAAGTTGACCCAATTAATCAAGATATGTCACTTGGTGGATCTCACCCATGAATTTTTCATGGTCAATTTGTAGCAGTGAGCACTTTAAACCATTGAGTCATTTGCTATTTGCAAAGTATCCATTTATGCAGTTACAAAATCCATTGGTATCAAGGATCATGGTAATTTAGGGAGTGTTTGTCTGTTTTCATCCCTAGAACGAACATATCTTGCATTGGACTGGGATCCTGAAGTAAAGAAGCGGTGCTTTGATGAAAATGCAGCAGAGGTAACATATAAACCATGTACTTAAATCAGTAAGTACAAGAGTCCAAAATACTTGTACCATATTAATTTGGTACGATTTATCATAAAAAGCATAAAATAACTAAAATCACAGGTCATTTATTTATGCTGGAAGCATGAGTTATAAGTAAATCATAATGGACATTTAAATACAGCAACATGATGGTCAGTCCACACACAGTATGTTGGAGACAGCTGCTGTTTTATCGTGAATTTAAATTCTCTCTTCCCGTGAGGTGAGATTGTAAAGAAAACTATAGTCATATTTCCAGCAAATTGTAATTTCTTTATGAAATAAACCACCATGGAATCTTCTGACATTTTAACAGATGTGTGTGTTTCCATTGCTGTTGTACACAAACTGATGTTACAAACAATTTATATTGAATTTAGGACTTTGAGAAGCATGAAAGTATGGAGTACAGACCCCAGAAAAAGATGTTTGTGAAATTAAAAGATTCTATTGAACTTTTTACAACTAAGGAAAAGCTAGGTGCAGAGGACCCATGGTGAGTAATCACATTTACGTAGCTTTGGTTACAAGTGAATTGATGAGGAAACTATTTAATTGTTTTTATATCAACTTCTCACAACTCTGCTCTGCTTGCAATTTATTGCTTCAGTATCACCAAAATATTATATAATACTCTCACTAAACCTAATAAATGGTGGTTTCTTGTCTGTGTCTGGAATGATTTAAATAAAATAGGTGTTCTGCCAACTGTTGTTCCACTCACAGTGTAGCATTTGTGCATTTACAGCTAACTAACCAGATTTTCCTAACATTGATACACAAGTCGTTTTTTTCTGTAAGTGAGTAATGCTGCCCTGAATATCCAGTAGTTAAGTCACCAACAAGCTATTCAGACCCAGAATGTTGCAGATTTGAGTCCCAGTCTGTACTGAGTTCAGCTGATCTAAGTTGAAGTAATACAATGGGACTTTGTGACTCAAGGGAGGGCAAATCCCTCTCTGATATTTATTAGTGATTTCCGCTGGAACATCAGGTGCAGATGGAATCGGACTCGTCCGTAATTTCTCTCTCCCCCACAGTTTGAATAGCCCATTGATGCTCATTCTCAGACATGAGTAATGACCATTTGGGCGAAGTACTGGAGAGATCCTGGCGCTTGTGGAACTGTAGTCGGAAATTGAAGTAATTTCAGTAAAATTGAAAGATAAACATTGGTGAAAGAGAGGAAAAGAAAAATACTGGAAGCTTAGATGTACACCGGCACAAATGTGTCAGTAAAATCACCTAACAAATCCATGTATTTTCAACATTTCACCAAATTTGATTAATTTAAATTCATACTCTCATCTATAAACACTCTGCATGCTTTTCTAAAGGCAAAGGCTCGTGCTGAGTACAGTTACACTCGCATACATTAATTTGTGAGCGTCGGCAGGCTATTCAACTGTGAGGTGTCAGAGCCAAATCTGATGTTATCCTCACCTGGCACCCACATGTGTTTTCAATTCCCCTCCCTTTCTTCCCTTCCCAGGATTGCTGAGGCCAATTGTGTCCCTTGTAGCTCAGGCTGAAATCGGAACACTCAACGCAGACAGGAAATTAAACTTGGGACCTGCCTGGTGTACTCAATAGGCTATTTGTCTAAATTGTGTTTTTTTACTTTCCTCAGGTACTGTCCAAACTGTAAACAGCATCAGCAGGCCACTAAAAAGCTAGATCTGTGGTCATTACCCCCCGTGCTGGTAGTGCATCTGAAACGATTTTCCTACAGTAGATACTGGCGAGACAAGCTGGACACACTGGTTGATTTTCCTATTAGGTACGATGTCAGGCAGTAAATTTGCCAATTCTTTCTCTGGTTGCACTGGTGTATATTTACATGGAAATAGACCTGCAATAGAGTGGCTCCTAATTTGTCTGTCCAGCTGGCTCTGCCATCAGGTTGTCTGTTGTCCAAGCTATTTAGATAATCAAAGTTTTTTTTTATCTCTTTGGATGAAGGTTCAAGTCCCAGAACGCCGTAATGTAATGCTTCTTAAATCAAAATGCGTTTCAGTGTTTTTTTTCGAAACTGTCTCTATATCTTCAATAAAGCCTCTAATAATGATTGAGATACAAGTTTTGCGATATTGTTTTTTTAAGAGTTATGTTTGGCAGCTCAATACCAAAAGAGGTTTGAGTAACAACATGTGATGCTTTGGGACCTCTGGTTGGTGCTGGTCGATTTCTCTAAATGTTAAATTCTCGTTGATGTGGGGAATTGTTAATGGAGAAAACTGAGCAGGAGAGTCATCACTGAGACTTTCTTTTACACTTCTGGTGTTCAATTCATAGAGTAGCATTGCTTGGATGCAAGTTGCATCTATATCTTCTTGGCCTCAAATTGTACATCTTGATAAAGGACACAGTTGAGATTCATACAAGAAAAGGCTGATAAATAATTACACATCATGTAAATATGAGGTGAGAGTAACAGTGCGCTGTCAAACTGATTCTCATCTGAAACAAGTGCACCCAAACTAATTTCAGTTAGTAAATTGGAGTACAGTAGTGTGCTGCGCTTCTGCACCCTAACTATTTGCATGCCTTGACGACCTACATTGGGCTGCAAAGTTTGGAACTTCTTTTTAGTTGCGCGCAAGGGATTGTAATAGAACTGGACTGAACCCGCTCTCCTAAAATCCCTTGCATTAAAGTGAAAAGATCCAACCCAAGTAAGTGCATGATTAGAAATAGCGAGACAGAGTTTTCATATTTACAATGGGGCCAATCCCAGTTACTTTGAATGCTAGGCTTCTCTACTCTATTAAGACAATTGCTTATTGCTGCATAGAATATATTTGACCACATATATGTAAACTATCTCACTTACAAACTGTCGTGGTATCAAATATTTTAATTGTAAGTAAACATGTTGAAGTTTTACACAACTACATTTTGTAATTGTCATTCTCTTTGTTTGCATTAAGTGCTTTAGATATGTCTGAATTTCTTATCAATCCAAATGCTGGCCCCTGTGAATACAATCTGATTGCTGTGTCAAATCACTATGGTGGAATGGGTGGAGGACATTGTAAGTATTCTAAAATGGTAGTTGTAAGTAGCATGTGTCTCTATATGCATATTCCTGTCAGTGTTAGATCTACATTGATAAAATTGTATTTCAAGTGGAATTGTTTTCTTTATGAAGAATAAAATTCCTAAATTTCCTAGTAACACCGAAAACAGATAATACCAGTAAAATTGTTTCTAGTCTGTGCTTTTTTCAGTTGCTGATTTACTTTTGTCCACAGATACAGCCTTTGCTAAGAACAAAGATGATGACAAGTGGTACTATTTTGATGACACCAGCGTTTCACCTGCGACTGAAGACCAAATCGTGGTAAGTGCCTCTTTCAGTATTGTTAATCGCAATAACTCAATCCTTGTAGAAATCCCAGTAACAGCATCTTTGTAAAAAAAACTGTCATATACAGCCAGTGAATCCAACATCTGTAAAAGATAGGTTTGTATTTTGAACATTGTCCTTTATTTGAACTTTAGCCAATAAAAAGCAGTGTGTCAGAAGAATTCAAACATTGGTAATGTGAATGAGGAATTGGCCGTCTCTTTATTTGAACTTGTAAAACTCACGCGGATCACAATTTCATATATCAAATAATAAATATCCTGTTGCAAAGCATAGAACATAGAGTATCTGATCCTGAGTTTGTCATCAACAAATATAACCTAACCTGCTGATAATAACATCCCCTCTTTGTCTTTCCGCAGTCCAAAGCAGCTTATGTTCTGTTCTACCAGAGGCAAGACACAGTCAGTGGCACAGGCTATTTTGCACATGATCGTATTGTCAAGAAAGAAGCTTCTGCTGCTGTAGGAGCCCGAGTGGAGAGTGATGAGGACTGTAATGAGAACGATGTCGAAAATGAAAACTGCATGCACACAAACTGACATTGAACTGATTACCATGTACAACCCCTCAAATGCAGATTTCTGCCCAGACACTGGAAAGCTAGAAGGATACAACCAAGTAAGATTAGGAGATCATCTGGAGAAGGAAAGCTAAGTCAGCCCAAAGTAAAAGCCATTTTGGATTTTAAATATTGAAACAAACCTAAGTGAATTACTTGAAACAAAAATGTATTAGGAATTCAATTAGAAGCTAACTGGAGTATATGATAGACGTGTGAAGTCTGTTTGTCTTACCGATGTATGCAGTTCTTTACACTAAATATATGCACAAATAATCAAATGTGGTTCCCTTCTTCAATCTTTGTTTCTTCTATTGTTTTTGAGAATGTACCAGTATTTTCACAGAACTATTGTTTTATGTCTTGAGCTGAAGTATACGGCAAAGTGTGCAATGTATTTGTCCTGCTGTGGAAATAGAGAACACAAGCACTTATTGGAAAGACAGTTGTTTCACCAACTCAGTGACAAACCTGCTGTCATGCTCTGTTTAAACATGTTGTACGAGCCACCTAAATGAATGATTAGTGAAGCATCTGCTCCTTCATTGCTGTAATTCATGCTGCTTAGTTGGCACACCATTGCCCCCAGTTATATTGCTGAAAGATGAGCGATGTTGTTTCAAGCAGTGGACTATAATGAGCAGGACACCTGAATTATACTTCCCATACATATCATCGCATTGTCAACAAGACTGTTAGTTTCAAGCCATGATTTCAGAGTTCTGCACAGGAGCCTTGTTTCATTCTGAAGTTTGGGTTTAATTTATTAATGTGAAAGAATCAGTCATAGGACCATCTGATGCACACCTGCTGTGGTTAACCTCCAACGGGGCAAATCAAAGTGCTGATGAAAGGAATGCCTCAAAATTGTCTCAGCACTGGATCTCCAGATCAGTTTGCTTCTGAATTGTGCCACTCATCCCAGATTTATAATTTTCATACCAATTTTTTTTTGCCAATTCACAATGGAAATGCAGTATAAAACAGCAGAATATTTTATTTGTACTGCTCTGTCACAGATATGCGTTATTGTCCCGCACAGGTTAAGTAGACAGCATCTCACATTTGAAAGGTACCACACTGATGTGTACCTGCCTATTGCTATTCATACCTCTACTTTAACCCTCTGAGGACTGCAGTGTCATTTCTGCACCAAATAAGAAAACTATTGAGGTATAATATTTTTAATGTTTACTCAACGAATCTCTGAACTTACGCATGCGCTTTGCTCAGAACTTGCTCTGGGATTTGCTGCATTTCCTTCAAATCTACTTTCCGATGTGTTGTTATGAGGTGCAGCGTTTAAAAATTGACAGCAAATAATTTTCTACAGACATGTGACGGAAAGCTTCTTTTGAAAACTGCAAAAAGCTTGCAGTACTCAGGGTTAAAAATAGAATGTCATAACAGATATAATTGATGTGCTGGAGGGTTTTCATTTGTTCAGCGAACTTAGTTTGCACACTTTTCTTTTGGTATATGACCAAGGGGACTAGTGTAACTGTCTTCATGCATCTAAGTTGATGGTGTATTAAAGCTGAGGCTCAACACGTTGTAATCGAGCTACAAACTACATTATCAAATCTGATAGAACAAGTGAGCAGGTCAGTTAATTTTGTTTAATTCCTTTTGGGATTTCACCATAGCCTTACAGCATATTAAATTGTGTACAATAAACCTCTGCATGATACAGTAATCAATTAATTGTATATATTACTTGGTAAATCGTGTTGAATTTATTAGTCTGCTGTATTTATGAGGCAAGGATGCCAAACAGCTCGAGTGGAATTTGGACTCTACCCCCCACCCCCGGATTGCTGCTTTCCATTTGATGTAGTTCGTAAGAATGTATTTTTGATTTACAGCCTTTGGCAGTAAGTACGTAATGCTCTTCTCTACTTAAGTAATTGCTTTGTGTCCCATTGCCAATAAAGGAAATGATGGTCTTCACTTTAAAAATCTGACACAAATAAAATGGATTTGAATGTCGTATTGTATGAATAAGTTCACTCTGTGAGTGCACACCTGGTAAATTATTTTATTGAGATGTTATAATTAAAGACATAGAAACACTATACAGTAGTAGACCAGGATGAGTTAAGTATACCAAGAATGGCTTTGCTCAATAACTTGATATTAGTGCTGGTATTTCTCTCTGTGTTTTACAGTCAGTATCTTTGCCTTTATGGTTTGAAATTTTTTGTAAAATTAAAGTTATAAAACCTCTAGCATGACTGAGGATAATATTTTGTCTGCACTTCATTTAATTTGAGTTTACATTTGAAACTTGCATGTTTATTTATATAAATTTACAATAAAGTTATGCAAGGCCTTAGCTACTACACTTGTCTGTCCTTTTGATAACTGCGTAGAGCATACTGCATAACTCAGTTGCCATTGTGGTTTGGGAATAAACTGCACAGATATGGTCAGGTATGGTGTGTTTTTCAATGAAGGTTTACAAAGTTTCATATTTAGTACTAAACAATTTGCTCAATTTGTGTGTCCTTAAATGGATCATTTATTGTTAAAATATTTGTGGAAACTGAAATAAAACTGCATAACTTGTGTATGCAATGGTTGTAGTCCTTACATATCAATACAAAATGGAAATAAAATGTGTCAAGTGAAGAATGATTGTGTATGCTGAAAGTTTGTAACTATAATGGATGGTGATTCCTTTGTTTAATATACTTCATGTCAATGTAAATGTAGTAGGTTTTCTGCAAAGTGTGAAGGATTAAAATCTTGTTTGCAAATTTTACTTGATAGACTGATATATGAACTGAAAAGTCTTGTAATAACATCACTTCAGAAGTCCAAAGAATTATCTTTTTTTATTGTGGTTCTGGTCAATGTATTTTACGGGGGGGCCCTTCAAGACGCCACTTTATTCTAATTTTGGAAATCACTAACAGATCTAACAGATCAGTCCATCCAGATCCAGAATATGGACCGTAGCTTCCAACACGGGAATGAAAAATTCCATCAAAACAACACACAAAAAAACTTATCTTATTACATTGACGGTTTCAAACGGGGAAGAATGCATTTCTCTACATCCTCCAAACACACATATATCCCAACTGCGGGGCAAAGTGGAACACGTTCACCCAAACGCCACTGAACAGGCACCCAACCTACCCCCAAGCTCATCACTCATTAGCACAGTCACACAATCCAGATCCAATGGATTTGTCAATAGACTCAGAAAATAATATTACTTTTAAGAACTTAGCTATTGAGTTATAACACTCGTGCGGGGCGAGGATTTGGAGAAAGTTGGACAGGGTTTTTGCTGTTAATAGCTCTCCTGCGACTACTATAAAATTCATATGAATCAACAGACATTGGGCGGCAACATTTCAGTGCGGACAAATGATGTTTCTCAATGGTCAGAGAACTGCCTATAGAACTGTTGTGGGTTTTTCTTTAAAATACGTATAAATATATTTAGTACAACGGAAATCCCGAAAAAACACAGCGTCGTTTGTTACAATTTTTTTCCCTTTTTAACCCGATACAAAAAAAAATTCCATTTGTTTACGGTACATTCCTTCCTCCACCGCACATAGGTTGTGCGCACGTTTTTTTGGGACGATCCCTTCAACACAGTCGGGAGTCGCCCCTCAGTACAATTTATTATTTCTTTTAAGGAATTATTACCCCGGAAAAGCGATCCTCCAATCGACTAACAATCGGGTTCCCAGTTACTGCTCAGTAAACAGGCGAGTGGAGCGAGGAAACTGGCCCAATGTTCAGAAGGCGCTGAGTGTGTGTGAGACAGTCAGTAGGTGGCGCTGTGTGTGTGTGACTGTCAGTAGTTGGCGCTGTGTGTGTGTGACTGTCAGGAGATGGCACTGTGTGTATGTGTGTGACAAGTCAGTAGGTGGCGCTGTGTGTATGTGTGTGACAGTCAGTAGGTGGCGCTGTGTGTGTGTGTGACAGTCAGTAGGTGGCGCTGTGTGTGTGTGACTGTCAGTAGTTGGCGCTGTGTGTATGTGACTGTCAGGAGATGGCACTGTGTGTATGTGTGTGACAAGTCAGTAGGTGGCGCTGTGTGTATGTGTGTGACAGTCAGTAGGTGGCGCTGTGTGTGTGTGTGACAGTCAGTAGGTGGCGCTGTGTGTGTGTGTGACAGTCAGTAGGTGGCGCTGTGTGTATGTGTGTGACAGTCAGTAGGTGGCGCTGTGTGTGTGTGTGACAGTCAGTAGGTGGCGCTGTGTGTATGTGTGTGACAGTCAGTAGGTGGCGCTGTGTGTGTGTGTGACAGTCAGTAGGTGGCGCTGTGTGTGTGTGAGACAGTCAGTAGGTGGCACTGTGTGTGTGTGTGTGTGTGTGTGACAGTCAGTAGGTGGCGCTGTGTGTGTGACAGTCAGTAGGTGGCGCTGTGTGTGTGTGTGTGTGTGACAGTCAGTAGGTGGCGCTGTGTGTGTGTGACAGTCAGTAGGTGGCACTGTGTGTGTGTGTGAGACAGTCAGTAGGTGGCGCTGTGTGTGTGACAGTCAGTAGGTGGCGCTGTGTGTGACAGTCAGTAGATGGCACTGTGTGTGTGACAGTCAGTAGGTGGCGCTGTGTGTGTGTGACAGTCAGTAGGTGGCGCTGTGTGTATGCGTGTGACAGTCAGTAGGTGGCGCTGTGTGTATGCGTGTGACAGTCAGTAGGTGGCGCTGTGTGTGTGTGTGACAGTCAGTAGGTGGCGCTGTGTGTGTGTGAGACAGTCAGTAGGTGGCACTGTGTGTGTGTGTGTGTGACAGTTAGTAGGTGGCGCTGTGTGTGTGACAGTCAGTAGGTGGCGCTGTGTGTGTGTGAGACAGTCAGTCACTGTGTGTGTGTGTGTGACAGTCAGTAGGTGGCGCTGTGTGTGTGACAGTCAGTCGCTGTGTGTGTGTGTGTGTGTGACAGTCAGTAGGTGGCACTGTGTGTGACAGTCAGTAGGTGGCGCTGTGTGTGTGTGACGGTCAGTAGGTGGCGCTGTGTGTGTGTGACAGTCAGTAGGTGGCGCTGTGTGTGTGTGACGGTCAGTAGGTGGCGCTGTGTGTGTGTGACAGTCAGTAGGTGGCACTGTGTGTGTGTGTGAGACAGTCAGTAGGTGGCGCTGTGTGTGTGACAGTCAGTAGGTGGCGCTGTGTGTGACAGTCAGTAGATGGCACTGTGTGTGTGTGTGACAGTCAGTAGGTGGCGCTGTGTGTGTGTGTGTGACAGTCAGTAGGTGGCGCTGTGTGTGTGTGTGTGACAGTCAGTAGGTGGCGCTGTGTGTGTGTGTGACAGTCAGGAGGTGGCGCTGTGTGTGTGTGTGTGTGTGACAGTCAGGAGGTGGCGCTGTGTGTGTGTGTGTGACAGTCAGGAGGTGGCGCTGTGTGTGTGTGTGTGTGTGTGACAGTCAGCAGGTGGCGCTGTTTCTCTCTCGGGGGCGGGGCGGGGGTGATTGTGACGTTACCGGCAGTTCCGGGTCGCTCGCGCTGTGTTTACGGAAGTGGCGGTGACGTGTCGGCCGCGGTGTGTTGTGGGCCGCTGTTGTTCGGATGGGCCGCGCGCCCTGACCATGTCCAACATGACAACGTCACCGGAGGCCGTGAGGAAACTGCTGGAAAACATGCAGAGCGACCTGAGGGCCCTGTCCCTGGAGAGCAGGAAGAGGTTCCCCCCCGTCAAGGAGGTGAGTGGCGGTTCCTGAGGGGCGGAGGGCGGGGGGGACCCTCAGCACAGAGACCCTGAGAGACACTGCCCCCCCCACACCCCCCACACACACTGCCCACACACCCCCCACACACACACTGCCCCCCCCCACACCCCCCCACACACACACACACACACTGCCCCCCACACACACACACACACACACTGCCCCCACACACACACACACTGCCCCCCCACACCCCCACACCCCCACACACTGCCCCCACACCCCCCCACACACACACACAGCACTGCCCCCACACACACACACACACAGACACTGCCCCCCCCCACACCCCCCACACACACACACTGCCCCCCCACACACACACACACACACTGCCCCCCACACACACTGCCCCCCCCACACACACACACACACTGCCCCCACACCCCCCACACACACACACAGACACTGCCCCCACCCCCACACACACACACACTGCCCCACACCCCCCCACACCCCCACACACACACACACACACTGTCCCCCCCACACACACACACACTGTCCCCCCACACACACACACTGTCCCCCCACACACACACACACACACTGCCCCCACACACACACACACACACACACACTGCCCCCACACCCCCCCACACACACACACAGACACTGCCCCACCCCCCACACCCCCCACACCCCCAGACACACACACACACACTGCCCCCCCACACACACACACACACTGTCCCCCCCACACACACACACTGCCCCCCCCCCACACCCCCCCCACACACACACACACTGCCCCCCCCACACACTGCTCCCCACACACACACTGCCCCCCCACACACACACACACACACTGCTCCCCCCCCACACACTGCCCCCCCCACACCCCCCCCACACACACACACACTGCCCCCCCACACACCCAGACACTGCCCCCCCCACACACACACACACTGCCCCCCCCCCACACACACACACTGCCCCCCCCCACACACACACACACACTGCCCCCCCACACACACATTGCCCCCCCCCCATACACACACACTGCACACCCCCCCACACATAGACACTGCCCCCTCTCCCCCCACACACACACAGACACTGCCCCCCCCACACAGACACTGCCCCCCCCACACACACACACTGCACACACCCCCACACATAGACACTGCCCCCTCTCCCCCCCACACACACACAGACACTGCCCCCCACACAGACACCCAGACACTGCCCCCCCACACACCCAGACACTGCCCCCCACACACACACTGCACACACCCCCACACATAGACACTGCCCCCCTCTCCCCCCCCCCACACACACAGACACTGCCCCCCCCACACACACACACACAGACACTGCCCCCCCCCCACACACACACACAGACACTGCCCCCCCCCCACACACACACACAGACACTGCCCCCCCCACACACACACACTGCACACCCCCCCACACATAGACACTGCCCCCTCTCCCCCCCCACACACACACCCTGCCCCCCCCCCCACACACACACAGACACTGCCCCCCCACACACACACACATTGCACACACCCCCACACATAGACACTGCCCCCCCCCCACACACACACACACAGACACTGCCCCCCCCCACACACACACACACAGACACTGCCCCCCCCACACACACAGACACTGCCCCCCCCCCCCCACACACACACACACACACACAGAGACTGCCCCCCACACAGAGACCCTCATCCCAACAGAGAGGGCCTCCCACACACACACACAGACCCTCATCTACACACACACAGAGACCCAATTCATAGAGAGAGACAGAGCCTCAGAAAGAGAAACCCTCATATACACATATATTGTATGTAGAGATTTCTTCATATACATATTGAGAGGTCATTCATATAGAGATGTACAGAAATAGAGATTTACTCTCTTTCATATAGACTCACAGAGATCTATTTGAATGTGTTTAAAATTATGAAAGAATTTAATTGAGGTGTATAAAAATATGCTGCTTCCACTTGTTAGTGTGTCCAAAACAAGGCGTCCTGAATATAAAATAGCTACTAACAAACCCAAAAGGGACACATAAAGAGGTGAAGTCTAAGAGAGGTGGGGGAGGGTCTAGGACTCGTTTGTTTTGCTTTACTTGAGTTTTATATTGATCAAAATATTCAGCTGATTGTTTCCATTAAGATAATGTGTGTAAGTGTTGTAAGATTATAAACATTTTCTTACCAAAGCATTCTTAAGTATACAAAGTTGTGTTGTGTTCTGTAAATCAATGGTGTTGATTGTTGCAATTGGGATGTTTATCAATAAGATCAAGACTTTGGCAGAGGCAGATGACAATGACCCATATTTATTGTACATATGTAAACTTTATTGGTATTTGTTGTCATTGTTTATTAAAAACTGAAATATTTAGTAGTAACTGAAATACTGTACATGGTACATAAGATTAAGTAGTTTAGGTGTGTCCAATGCTACATTGTGCCGCAATTGTGTCACTCAGTTCCTCTAAGTAAATTCAGATAAATATCTAAAAAGGAGAAATATGAAAGGACATCGGTAAAAGGCAGGAGAATGGGACTAAACAGATAGTGCTTTCAAAGAGCCAACACAGACACAGTGAACTGAATGGCTTGCCTTCTGTACTGAAAATTTCTATCGTTCTACACTACAACGTCTGTAGAGTTCAGGTGTCAATTTCGACACATTTCCACTTTGGTCTTCCATGAGAAATGGGAGCCTGAATCCATAAGGGAGAGGGAGAAGAGAGAGGAAACCTTAATGGACGATGACAGGGAAAATGCTTCTTTTTGACAATTAATTTAATGTTTCACTGAGGCCTATACCATTGCACCTTTTTGACCAAAAACATTATATGTGATTGGATATGAATGTGTCAATGTAATAATTTTTAATTGTTAACATGATGGTATTCTAGCTTTATGAATAAAATACATGTGGAGTCCTGTAGCTCAGTGGTTAGAGCACTCGCTTTGCAAGCGAGAGACCTGAGTTCAATTCCAGGCAGAGGGCGAAACCTTGGGCAAGTTTCCTTACTCCACACAGAGCCTAATAATAATCCCTCCAAAACCAAAAACAATAATAAATTGGTCATTTTCAATCTACGACTGTTTGTGGGACATTGCTGTGCGCAATTGGCTGCCGCGTTCGCCCACAAATATACAGTCAATTCACTTAACAGTGTGTTATGTGAAGCGCTTTGGGACGTCCTCCCGACGTGAAAAGCGCTATATCAAATGCAAGGATTATTATTATTATGTTCAGATATGTACACTTAACCTGTCAAAATACATCTCCCATAAGTTGTAAATTTTGGTTTGCTTCTTAAAGTCAACATTTTTTAAAAAAGTGTTTATTTTATATTCCCAAGTAAACCATATGCTTTATTTCATCAAGCAAAAATATATAAAAACGCATTCATTCCTAAATATTTTAAGAGAATTTTTTAAAAAAGAGAATTGAACATTTTCACATCTTATCTGTTTGATTTATTTGTAGTATAAAATTGTGCAAAAATAGTTGAATAATGCATAATATTGAATGAGAATTGTTTTAATTCACAGCGTAATAAGAATAAACTAAATAGCCTGATGTTGCTCATTTTCAATTGAATGGTTGATCATCACAATACATTTCTGTTGTTGACATGATTCTTATTTAGTGTAGGCAATTGAAAAGAATGCGTTAGTTTGGCCTTAGAGCTGCAGTCCTGCATGATACCTTTGCTGGTTTCCTGAGCCATTTATGCACGACATATAACTGGTCTCATCGATCCTTAGTAAATAGGAGTCAAACCATCCACTTTCAGAGATGATTCTAGTATATAATACATGAATGGGTCTTTTTCTTTCTGAGAAGATTCTCGAACAATTTTCTTATTAATTACACAATAAAAGCAGGATTCTATAGGGTAAATAACTGGTATTTATAAATCATTTCATCGCTATTGAGACCAATCCAATAGTGTAAGAGGGTGAGAGCAATTCCCTGAATGTTCAGGTCTCACTGTGTAGTTTGAATGAATTGGTGTTTCCTTTGTGTTAGTGATCTTTAAAAAGATGAGTCCTGTAGCTCAGTGGTTAGAGCACTCACTTTGCAAGTGAGAGACCTGAGTTCAATTCCAGGCAGAGGGCGAAACCTCGGGCAAGTTTCCTTACTCCACACAGAGCATAATAATAATCCCTCCAAAAAAACAATAATAAAAATTGGTCATTTTTAATCTACGACTGTTTGTGGGACATTGCTGTGCGCAATTGGCTGCCGCGTTCGCCCACAAATATACAGTCAATTCACTTTACAGTGTGTTCTGTGAAGCGCTTTGGGACGTCCTCCCGACGTAAAAAGCGCTATATCAAATGCAAGGATTATTATTATTATTATGAGATAAACAAAGTCTATGGCCAGGATCTCCATCTCCACAGCTTCAGTAGCCAGCATAGGTAGTGTTTATCTCTAGTCCCACAGAGAGGATTGATTCTTCCAGTCTCAGTGATGACTTTAAGCCTGTGGGTTAGCATATGTTAATGTCTGTTTTAAGAAAGACTTACTTGACCTTACATGAGCAAATTCTGTGAGATTTGTTTTTAAATTGAAGATGTTGAAGGCATTATAAAATGACAGACACCCAAGCAAACAACACCTGACATGTGCATCTTGGGCAGAAAGATTTTCTGTACTAAACATGCAGACTGGCAGTTGAAAATAGTTGGAGAAATTTACCCTCACCAAATTTCATTATTGATTTTTTTATTTGCCTTCTAAAAAAAGTAAGACTGTGTTACAGTCCAGTAACTGTGAAAAAGTTGTACAAATATGCACTAAAATACTCTTAGTGAAATTGAGCATGTAATTCTTGATAGTGTTGACATAGCAGCAATTGCTGAATTCTTGCCGGGTTGGAGATAGGGGAGAGAGAAGAGGGTTCATGTTGTACAAAGTAACCAGACTGCGAAGAATCAGGTCGGTTTTTTAAAGTTTAAATGCAAGAAAATACACAT